CAAATTAAGTGCGTTTACATTTATTATTTCATTTTCTGTAATTAAACAAACATATACAAAATCAATATCCGAAACATGATATCTCAGATCAAGAGTTCTATAATGTTAATTCAATATATTCAGTTCTAAATAACTTAAGCGAAGAAAATTCAATGTATTTGGATTTTGAAGAATATTGTTATTGTCTTGAAAAGGAAAATAAATAGACAAAGTTAAAAAGCGCTAACCATTATCCAGAGTATGTTTAATGATTTTTATTATCATAATTATAATTTATTATAATGTCTGTTATTGTCAAATGTTTTCGCTTATCATTGAGGTTTGTATTTTTCATTGATACATAAGAAAAAAGTCAGAGCGTTTCATGCTCTTATCCGTTTTTCGTTATTTGACTTTTGTAAAGTATACGATTGCAAAAGTTTATTAAAAAGCTATAAACAACATTGAATCGTTCCTCGGTGATGAAATATTTGGTAGATAAACACCTTCGTTTGTCATCTTCTGGCATCATCTGAGCCATCAAAGTGCAGCTGTCGATTTGCTGTGGCAGGGAGCTCTGAGAGATCTAAAACAATTTGATTAAATAAACTATATACATTTTATTTATATGTCAGATATCGTAATAGATCCTTTATTTCAAAATGCTGGTTATAATTTAGATATTTTTTCATAATCGGAATCGAAAAAACACAAACAAAAACAAACAAACAAACAAAAACAACCACTATATCAGAAATAAAGCAATAACGCTTATATTTTACAAAATGATTAACATGACCAAGCTTACACCAACAAGCAGATTGGGACAAGAAAAATGGCTGCCACTATTAGAAATGATAGGCCAGGCATCAAACTTGCAGTTTCGGCATACAAATTTTTGAAGATGCTTCCGCCAGTCAAATGACTCAAATTTTGAAGAACATATAGATTGGCAAACAAGACACCTACAAAGAACAAACAAAGAAATAATAGTGATATATTCAATTATTATTATTTAAGTACATTTGTATTAAGGATAAAGAACAAAAAATATTGTATACTTAGGTAACTTTTCAAGCATAGCTGCCACAGGTCTATTATATCTATTTACGTTGTCAATGAAAGTAATTATCAATAAGTGAATAAATAAACCAATACAAATATCAATCTAGTCGATTTTTCCCATACGCACAGTTCATAAACCATTTAAAGATATTCTACTACATGAATATGGAGAAAGATGATTGCTGTTTCCAATGAGTTTCATTCTACCATCAATTTTATATACAATAATGATGATATAAAAATAGTACCTTGTTTGTCTGGCTGTACATATCGAGATAAAATCGCTTTTAATACCGGAATCGGAACTATGGATAAAATTCCAACACCTACAGCTGTAAAATGATGAAATGTATGATCAAAGTCGTATGTAAGGGAAATAACTCCTCTATTGTAAAACGAGTTATCAGGTAAATGGCCATTATATTTTTAAGTGTTAGCAGAATAATTCATCCTATATCATATGTATTTATGGACATGCATTTTCCTCATCCACATCGAAGTTTATTATTTGTCAGAATGTAAGCAGAAATGAGCTTAATACTAAGTTTTGTTAATGTAATTTTAATAAATCTCAACAGTATATCAGTTATTCGCCTTAAAGAAAAAGGAGAGAGCTATTTTGAACTTTTGCTGTACCAAATTATCATAGAAGTAATATATTGGGGATATTAGCATCATCCTAGCCTGTTATAAACAAAGGTTATGATACTTACATAAATACATCATCCAGGTTGTTTTAGCAAGACCCATCACCACAAAATATCCTATATTGGAGATACAACCAAGAACACCTATGCTTTCATCCGACAGGTATTTTTGGAGCAATTTCAATAAGATGATTCCTCCTATAAATTGAACCATGTTTGTTGTAAATCCATACCACCCTATTTCTTCTGTTGACCAACAAAGTGGATATCTAATGTCATATATTATTTCTAACCCATAGCCAGTTACTCGTGCGAAAAACATAAGAAGAAAGGCTAACCAGATCGTCATGAACTGACACTGTTTGTGGTCAATAATAGAAGATTTGTCAAAGAAAAATCCAAATATTTTTCGCAGACTTATACATGATTGGATGTCAGAAACACTTTTTGTTATGTCCTGAACACCATACCGTGCAAGGAAATAGCAAAATAGAAAAGTCGCACTGCAGATAATCATAGGTGTCATATATCCTTTGTCTTGAATTAAGTAGCCTATTCCTAACTTTGCTATTGCTGATCCTGCTCCTATAAGAAGTTCTAGTATAGCGAGTCCGATTGTCCTTGATTTGTCATATTGGGTCTTGTCAGCAACAGATGCAGCGAAGGCCATGAAGAATGTATATTCACCTCCTGTTATACCAGAAATGAAATAGAATACATAAAAGTAATACAACGAGAGATTTTGGGACGTGATCAAAGCCATTAAGCCGAAGCGAACAAAGCCGCCGAAGAGAGATATTAAAAGCAGAGGTTTACGACCAATGGAGTCCGAATATAGTCCAAGAAGTAGCATAATTGGTGTGGCCAGTCCATACTCTGTGAGACTGAAGTACCAGGTCCAGGTGGTGGCTAGTGACTGGTCATGATGTTCTCTGGCTTTGCTTTCGTTTACTCCACACAAACCACTTGTAGAATTTTCAGCTCCTTTCGTAAGATTATCTCCCTTGGAATTCTCTGATACACGGTTATAAATATATAATGTCTGATTAATATTTCCGATTTGCATGAGAATAATATAAAATATTATCAGTATTCCACGTATTCCTATTTGAATGTGTCGACTGCTACTATTATAAACGTGGATTTTAACGGAATCGCCATCGTTTATTAATAAAGGTTTTTTTTCCAAATCGCAATCCATCTTGTAGTAATAGGTATAACTTGTTTAAAACAACTAATCTGTACTGTTCACGTTGTGCTTTTTGTATCGATTTGTAGAGACAGAAAATAGGGTCAGTAAATAGGTGTATGTAGATATCATTGTTGGTGATATGTCCATTAATGTAACTATTTATATAACAGTATTTACGTCCAATATATTTATCTAGAATAGTATGTCGTCTGATTTATCAGTAAGTATACCTTAAGTCACCAGCTGAAACTAGATAGGTACAAACTATTGATTCTACTATCACAACTGGCGATTTGATTAGTATTAACTTATCAAAATTTTATAGACAGGATATTAACGGCATTTCTTCACATGCATATTAACAGAAAAGACCCATTGTTTGACTTAAGTTACTTTTAAAGGCGATGCATGAATTCACTTGTTTACCTCTCCCAATTCTTGACGGGTCGTAGAATTTGAGAAACGGATTGTTGTGCTGTAGTGATCGTGACCTAGGTTTCAGCACTTTACCCTAATTGCTCTGTGTGTCTTGCTGGTATAGACATTGCTTAAGTTGTTTAGTGAGTTTGTCGCTCTGATTGCCATGTCATAGAATAACCCTGGCTGTTCATGGGGAGATAAATCCAGCAAAAATTTGATCAGTAATTTTGTTCATTTTCTGACCTGTTTACATGGTTTCTTGTCAGATTTGTTTATCATAAGTTTCTATATTAATGAATTGGTTCTCATTTTGGCATACACGGAAAGCTTTTTAGATACATGACCTTCAAATAAATAACCTCCAAAGTACAGATGAAACAGTCATTTGATTTTACCATGTTTTCCAGTTAATTTTTTCAATTTCCTTTTATCGTTTTAAAGTCACTCATGCATATAGTTTTGAAAAAGCTGTTGCTGTACATGTTGCATATGTTAGTATCAATTTAATAGATATTGAAGTTTTTTTTTTAAAATAAAACAAAAGATTCTTTCCACTCAGAATTGTTTGTCAAATTTAAAAGTCACAGAATTGAAATAAATCACGAGGCTGAGCAAGTAAACGTCTAGATACAGACAAATCATATTTCAGATATATGCCTCTTTTTTCTCGAACATATATCATTATAATGTTCACCAGTACACTGTGAAATGCGCAGATATATCATGAGAATACTTATGTTTGCCCAATAATTCAACAGTTGAAAATCATTCTCTCCATAGATTGTCCTATCATCGACCATTCTTTATATGATCTTTTCTTGTAAACACAAACAAGGACCTAGAATGAAAAGATTGAATTAATTGCATGAAGGAATAATTAAATCAGAAATGTGTTGCTGATAATCAATAAAAACAAGAAGCAACCGACGTCACATCAAGACAAAAGAACCGACACATTACAAATATGAGATGATGTTCGTGAAGCCGAGCCAACATGACAGTTCCTACAAAATTCAGGCAACCACGAAGAGTAGTTCTGGAAATATTCGCTTAATACTCATCCTTTGAATTTATATTTGCCTGTGTATTTCTTATCACAATGAAATATTCAAAATCTGACTTTAATATAGAAATTAGTGATTTTTGTTTAGACATATAGTATTTTCATTGATTATTTAGTAACTCATTGTAGTTATCCACATAATTGTGCACAATGTTTGATAAACTTCAGAAGTAAGTTTAAATATTTAAGCTAAAGGAAAGGTTTCTACAGAATATCATTGGATTCGATGTTGAAGTTTTGAAAGTTTGAATGCTTATTCGATACAACGCGTGAGATTTGATTTGACATTTAACATCTATCCACAAATTCGACTAACAAGAAACTATTATGTTCCTAATATTATATTATCAGTGTATATCGAACCAAAACTGCAAATTGCATTGAAATGTTTAAAAGGGTTCCAGCACGTTGTCATCCCTGTTTATTTCAAATAATCAATCTTCATTGTTGATTTGTGTGTAATAAACAACGATGACATCCCGTCCGGAATTATTTAAAACACATGCACAGATAGTTAATATTCGAAACCACATATATCACTTTATCCGCGACAAATTTCTGAATTATTTTCATTTTGCAATAGAACAAAGCAATTTTTTTAAAACCTACCATCAAGGAAAAGGAGGGAAAAAACTCACATTAATAGCCCTAGTGGGATAATGAAGGTTGAAGCCACTACGAGAAAACTTAGCCCCGGCATCCAGTCCTCTGTTTCAGAATAAAGATTATTAAAGATGCTTCCTGCTGCCAATGATGACAAATTCTCCATTACGTATAAATTGGCAAATAATATACCTGTAAAAACAATTTAGAAATCACCTGTTTTAAACCAAATTAGGAAATTTTCATTTTTAATTAAAAAAGTGTTTCTTTAATGTAAAAACACTATGTAGATTTTATCCATTAATGGAAACAATACGCGGAAAAGATATCATATAAAAGTAATGTATTTTGAAATGATTACTTTCATTTTAATCGTCAAAGAGCATCAGGATCAAAATGTCTTAAAATAAGCTTAATTTAACTGATGCCCAAACCATCAGTTGATATTCTGATTCAGAGTGTTCCTATAAAGTAAATTATAGTCAATAACGAAAACGTACATACAACCATATTTAATTATGCTCTGAAATCAATGTTTTCAGTTGAAAAATTTAACAATCGTAAAGGGACGTAATTCATAATATTTTGTGACACAAACGCAAAATGTAAAATACACTGTTCCGAATTAATGTTTTTTGTATATAATCAAGATATGTTTACCTTGTTCTCAATATGGGAACATGACATTAAATACTTGGTTTGACCAAAATTTCTATGACCCGTGTCGTCGATAAAGCTTACCCTTACCCTTCCGGAATACCTAGTCTTATTTTCCGTGTACCTTTTTCCATGAGTCCACGTGAAAAAGTTTTCTTTATTCATATTTTGTCACGGTGTCATCGAATTTGAGTTAATTAAGATTCTGTTGGCATGTCGTGTTTTTTTTTTTTTTTTTTATCAAAACAAGTGCTCAATGATGTCATTATATTTCATTATTCAGAAGAGAATCGTCGTTAAAAAAAGAAGTTTTTGTGCATTAAGCACATATGAAAACCGTATTCGCAAAATATACCACTTGTCTCGTAGTGTATAAGTTTGTTGCTGGGTTATATAGCAATATATAATTTTTTCTTTCTACCATTTTTCGAAATAAAAAAACTTCAATTTCCTGATGTTGCGTTTGATACGAAATATCATTTCCATGCAATTTTCCTTGCTTTATGATAGCAGATATATGTATGTATTTACCTTGTCTATCAGCTTCCACGAATCTTGACAATATTGAACGCATAACGGGAAACGTCACGACTGAAAGCACCCCGGCTCCAAGAGCTTCACAATGAGGAATCAAATGTTACATACATGTTATCACTTTCAATTTATTTATAACAATTCAAAATATTAAAAGTCAATTCAATCTGAACCAAAAAGAATTCCAAAAGACCCTATTATTATAACACAATTTTATCGCAAGATCGAACGGGAGATTTGTTTTCAGAAATAGCAATATACCCATGGTTCAATAACTTTGCATGTTTCTAATACAATTTGTGTTTGTCATAGAGAATATATTTAATCAATGTTTCACATACCTGTATACATCATGAAATTAGAAGATGCCAAACCCATAACGACGAAAAGTCCAATGTTAGACAGGCAACCAAGCGAAGCTAAGAGTACATCTTCAACACAGTATTGAAGTAATTTCATTAAAGACAAACCCAACAGGAATTCAACAATATTTTGAACGAACCCGAACCAGCCAATCCCCTCTGGTGTCCAACAGAACGGAGATCTTAACTCATACAATGTTGTTATACCAGAGGCAGATGAACGTGCGAAATGAATGATATGAAAAGCCGACCAAGCTATTACAAACAAATAATTTTTGCTTCCAATAATAGATGCTTTATCGTAGAAAAATCCAAATATTCTTTTGATACCAATGCAAAAAGTCAAATTTTTCGATGATATTGTGGTTATCGTCTCTTCTACAAAAGCGCAAACAAGTATTGAACTTGTTAGGTAGGCTCCTAAACATATCAGCATCGGCATGAGGTACCCACTGTAATGTATCAGGTACCCTGCGCTTATTTTTGCCACACTTCCTCCTAACCCAATGAGAACCTCAAAAATTGCCAATCCTACGGTTCTCGTTTGGCTGTAGCTTGTTTTATCGGCGATGGCTGCGGTGCTAGCAATGAAAAAGAGATAGCTATTGCCAGTGAGACCGGATACAGCATAGGGCACGAAAAAGAAAACAAAAGGCAATCGCTTGTGGGTAATGAAAGCCATCATACCGTAGCGAAGGGCATCGCCTGTAAGTGAAATTATCAGAAGTGGCTTCCTGCCAATAAAATCCGAATACAGACCATATAGAAGAAGCGACGGAACACCCAAACCATGGGAAACCAGACTAAAATACCATGTCCATTTTGCTGCGAGCTTTTGGTCAAGATTCTCGGTAGAGCGACTTTGGTTCGAACCGCATGCATTCGTTGAATTTTCTTCACGTGTGAATGTGAGATTTCTTTCCTTGTTAAAGTCTGAGGCGCGATTATAGATATAAAGTGTTTGGTTAAGACTTCCAAATTCCGATATAACCATGTACATAAACGTTAGGCACATACGGAAAACCATTTGAGTCCTGATCGATCTGTTCTCAGATTTGATGGCTTGTTTATCAGTATTAACTAACAATGGTTTTTGCTCTGACGCAGTATCCATTTCGAATATTTGGTCCACAACCAATCTTTTGCATCCAGCTCTTACATCAAAATCAAATAGAGTGTAGCACTATTATTCTGATCGTCGGAAGTTTACGGCATTATCAAAAGGAGGTAAATGTGTATACACTCTGCACGATATCTAGCTATTCAGGGTGCCATTATCAACTGCCTATCAGTATCTGTGGGATACATAAGTATGTCAGTCATATGAATTCTTAACTGCTAAATATAGTCCGGCGAATACTGTAAACGGTAGCTTATGTGAGGACTGTTTACGATAAACAGAAAAAGAGTAGGCGTGGTAACACCGGGCCAGACGGATTTCAAAATTACCTTAATCTAAATCTATATAGCCCCCCCCCCTCCTCCAATTCTTTCCTTTAACTTCTGGATATGTTTCAAATTGCTAGAGTTAGAATAAAATATTAATAGGCACTGGAGCCGTCATCAGCTACAGACGGTTCCATCAATTTGAGGAGGGGGTGGGTGTGGGGGGTGGGGGGGGGGGGGGGGGGGGAGGGGGGTGGGGTGGGGGTGGGTATAGGTCGCCCCCTCACTTCCCCAGAACACTGACGTCCGTCTGTGAGATGATACCCGGACACGGTACAGGGTCGAGTAAGTATAGATATATTCTAATTTATGTTTGCGGGACTCGTGGGTGACCTCTCTTATCAGATAAGGTCGATAAGGTATACAATGCATTTAGCTACCTGTCAGATATCAATTGAAATGTATGTGGACTTGAATGAGCAACCTCTCAATTACATAAATATGACATTAAAATTTCAAAAGAACTGTCCATTTGTTTCGATTTCAGAAGAAAGAACCAACGAAGTGGCGAGACAAGGTTGTCATATTTGCATGAAAAACAAAAGTAAAAATAAAGTAAAGAAAATAAAGTATATATTTCATGTTATCATTGAAAATATTCTGGGGACATTGAAATATTTAGAATGTTGGATTAAATCTGATTCAATTTTCATATGGTAAACACGGGGGAAACTTGAGATAGCCATATCGTTGTTCTTATATCATGCAATGCGAAAATTACAGTAATCACCTTGCTTCCTTCCACCACCATCCGAGATAAAGCTGAGCGAATCAATACACCTTGTAACAAGGACAGTACTCCAACGCTTGTTCCTGGATAAATAAAACTTGAATAGTCGTTCAATACTTTTCCTACTTACAATGCAGACGTCCATGTGAATGCTTATTAGTATAATTTAATTTTTTCTTATACGTGCACGCATCAGGAAAAGCGGTCCTTACAACACATTAGAGGTCGCATTTTGTTAAAGGTATCTTCTGATATTCGTTTTAAAATGCATCGTAAACTGCTCTCGACAACAGAACGTAACGCTCTGCATCAACAGAGGTGAGACGCTGCAATAGGAAATGGCATTTACGTAGCCAGTAGTAAATGTGTATTGATGTGAAAGTATTGTATATTTCAGCTTTCCAATAATGACGAAAAAATAAAATGTGAGATATGAATCTTGCCAACCCGGTCTTGAAACCTGCCGTATTGTAAACTTTGTTAAGTCATCAAAGATTAAATCATTTGTTACATTGTATACTTACTTTTATATACTAATGAGTGAAGTCTTCATTATTGCATTCAGATGTCTAATAATGATATGGAAACGGACCTTCCTCGCTTCTATTTGATGCTTTAACTTCAGAGAAATTCATATCAACAACATTTTATTGATAGCTGGTCTAATAGTTCTATCAAGCCAAAGCTTCTTAATACGAATCTTGATATACCAATTCATGATTTTTCTGTAGTAGTATTATGTAGATTATAAAGAACCCCAAAAAGCTTTTGGCGAATTTGAGATATCCTCTTCAAGAAAACTCTATCAGAACAATGTTTTCTTTTTTCAATCTGTATAGCATTCGTTCTCTAGTTATGTATGCTCTTTCTTTTCGAAGAGATGTCGATGACCGTACAAATGTATGGTTGGAAACTGTGATGAAGCACATTTCGTGAAAATACGTCCAAAATAAAAACAGATAAATACGGAGATCGATATCATAGTAATAACCAAGAACCTTTCTGACAATATCTTTGTCGTGCTTTTGTTTGTTTTCATACGAAGCTGAATTTATTGAAGAGCTTATCAAAAAAAGGTCACAAAGACCTTGAAAAGTCATTTCATTTTTATTTTCATATATATTGATGAAGTGTTGCCTTTCAATAACAACAAACTCATTGAACACGTCCATCGTATATACAGACTAGAATTGGAAATCAAAGACACGACAGACTTTTCTACGTCAGCTGCTTATCTCGATCCTTTCCTACAACGAAACCGTCATGAACAGCTTTTTATCAATCTGTATGATAAACGTGATGATTTCAATTTTAACTTTTACATTTTCCATTTCCTGATAGCGATGAACCTGCATCCCCAGCCTATGGTGTTTACATGTACCATAATGTTATCATTATTTCTTTGTATGTCGTTGGATGTGTTTGATGCTCGTTGGTTTGCCTTTTGGTTCCGTTGTTGTATACCTTGTTCTCATTTAAGAACATGGCATTACTTAATATGTTTGACCAAGGATTACATGACTTTTTTAAAGTTGAGTTTATTAACACAGGCCACAAAGATCTTGTCATGGCCTTGAACTTCACTTTTAGATAAAATATCTGTTTACACATCACTCCAAAAGTCACCAGGATATATATCGAGGGCGATACATATCAACTATATCAGTTTTTATGTTGTAGGAGGAACTGTTGTAAATAAGACATGGAATGTGTATTTCCGGCAGTAAAATACTAAAAATAAACATTAATGGTGATGCCTGCCCCCTCCTTCCCCTAATCATCATCATCGCAGCATGTCCTTGTCTTATTACATTGTCATCAACGTCACAGAGTTTGGTTTTCACAGTTTTCACACAAACTGTGATAACATGATGATATGCTGGGATGGGATTGACATCGAATCAGTTCTGTATGGTGAATGGTCTCGTTTTAGGTTTACAGCAGAGAAGGAACCTGGGAAAAGAAAATGCGGTTTTGTTAACAACTATATAAACTTGTACATATTGATTTAAGTTTCAAAAAGCTTTAATATTAACTGTCAATCAACGTTAACTTCGGTTATGTATTTGTGTTTTTTGATATGTTTTGTCATCATAATTATCACATGAATTTTAATCAAATAAAGACTTTATTGGGAAAACAATATTATAAATTCCCTATTTATATCAGTATGATTTTTAGCATTGCAATAATCATAGTTGGCCTCCTAAACATATTATCGATTTGCTATATGTTGTTATTGAGCTTATTGACTTATACTTACATGAACACAATCAACGATGTTAGGTTAAATGCCCCCATTATCAGGAATACAAAACCGGCCATGAAAGTCTGAGTCCGAGCGTATATTTCGCTGAAGACAGTCTTGCTGAGCATACTACATATGTTTTCAATCACATATGTATTGCCAAATACAGCACCTTTAATATATAAGCATGATCACCATACACAAAAACTAATCACATATAAAATAATTTCTAAATCAAATATTCTTCATTAAAATTAGTTTGTCTCATTTGGATTACATTACTTACTGCATTCGGCTACCATTATATCAAATCATAATAGCATTCGAATTTCAAATTATAAATATATATATGATATATATATGATCTCAAGTGAGTTTCTTTCTTATTTTTTCTTACGATATTGTTTTAAACAAGTTTTAGAAGTTTCATTTTTGCGGGGTTTGGTAAGCAAACAATAAAGTTTTGAAGCGTGTTTTATAGAATTTCATATGAAATGAAAACAAAATCACAAACGTTATATTTTGGCATGTTTCGGAAGAAAAAAAAAAGTGGAGGAAAATCTCAAACGGAGGCAAATATTTTGGTTGCGTCATATTCAATTAATGACATATTATTGTCGATATTACTTATTATTGTAAGTATTTTGATTCATGTTAATACGATCCAGAACGGGAAGAATAAAACGTTCATAGTTTCCTCTTTATTTAGATACATTTCATTGTGTTTTCTCACATGTGAATCGACAATAAACAAGGATCATTCTTAATTACAAATTCTGATATCTAAAAAAAGCCGTGCAAGATAAAAGGTCTAGTAAAAAATGTATAATGAGAATTATCATTCCAACCATTGTTCAAAATGGCTTTCAATTTCCGGAAAATACCTTGTTTATCTTTTTCGATCAAGTTAGAGGAAAAAGCTCGGAGAAGAGGTCTAGACATGAGAGAGAGCATACCCGCCCCTGAGCCTGCACGAAAAAAGAGTAAACCATTATTCAATTCACTTTACAACACATAATGATATAACAATATATATTGAGTTTGTCGTCTTCAACAATTCAGCAATTTAAATCCTTATCATCATGGATGCGTGCTGAAAGAACGAAAAAGTTGCATGTGTGATTTTTATCATTAGTTTGGTCTAATGTAAGTAATCTTAATATTTTGTTAACGGTATAATGAAACACCGTTAATTAATATGCAAAACTCACAAATTAAAAATATGGGAAATATTAAAATCTGAAAAAATAAAAACCAGTTAATAACAGGTTTGTGATCTTCAAAGGAAGTAATTGATAAAAATCCTTAGAAAAATAAAAGTATTGCAAAACTACCGTGAACTGCTTATATTGTGCATGAATTTCCCGGAATGCATAGGCCAAAGGTCACTGTGCCAGTCTATTAACAAGGATTGATAGTTTGTACCACCTGTAAACGTCTCATTAACAATTGTAATGGTTTATTAGTGTGTTAGATTTGAATAACACACTCCTTTTGCGATAGATCTAATTTTTGTACCAATGAGATGACACTTTATATTGTTGTTTTAACGATATATCTAACAATAAGATTGTTTCAAAATACTTCCAGCTTACGGTCACGCATAGAAATGAGAAGGTAGTATAATAGTATCTATTTACCAGTAGATATGGAGTTTCAAAAATTATTTAACTAACTTATTCGTAACGAATCATGGATGAGGCGATAGCAAATCTAAAGCATATACAACACTTAAAAAATATATATATGCTTTTTATATTTTTTTTGATACTCACTTATATACAGCATCAGACTTGTGTCAGCGAAACCTGTAATAACTGAAGAGGCAATAGCGGATGTGATGGTGATCATGATCACTGTAACGTCAGGAAGGCACATCTGCAGCCACTTAACAACTACCAAACCAAAGAGGTATTTTAAAATATCGGTTCCGAATCCATACCACCCTATTTTTCTTGAATCCCAACAAAATGGCGAACGAAGCTGATAAAGTACTCCAATTGTGGAGGAATCCGATGCAGCCATAAGCAAGAGAAAAATAGTTAACATTGTCAAATTGAATGTTAAAACACTGCCAGTCAGGATGTAAGATTTGCTTAAAAACATTCCAAAAATATTTTTGAGATGAACGCCAATTGTGATATGTTTAGTTGATCTAGGTAAACGTGTGTCCTTTATCGCAAACAGTGTAATGAAGAAACACACAGCGAATATTCCTGACGCTGCTACCATGGGGTACATATATCCAAAACTCTTTATCAGGTATCCAGTACCAACATGAGCGGTACTTACACCAACCCCAGTTACCGCTTCGAATAATGCTATACCAAAAGCCCTCTTCTTGTTATTGTCCGTTTTGTCTGCCACAGATGCGGTCATCGCAATATAAAATGGGTAGTGACCACCACTTATTCCCGTCAAAACACACGGAATAAAGAAATAAATTAATGAAAGGTTTTTGTAAACAATAAAACTCTTGGTAGCAAATTGAAAACAAAAGCCGATACAGGAAATCATCATAAGCGGTTTTCTACCAACGAAATCCGAATATGAACTATACATCATTATCATCGGAATAGCTATCCCATGCTCACATAGGGAGAAGTATAACAACCATAATGCCGCCGCTGACTGGTCTTTCTTTTCACTTTTGGCGCTGACACTGCCCCCACACGGATCTGGTGATATAGTTGTCGATGTGCTGTCATAGGAAGTGTTCATCACGTTGGTGCTTGAGTTTGAATTTTCCTCTACCCACTTATATACATACTGGTTTTTCGTCAAGCCACCCATTTGTAACCCTATCACAAACAGAATGATCAAAACCACACGAATAAATATATCCATTAAAGACGTAGAAGAATCAGATGGACTTTTCTCAGTTCGCTCTTCCTCTTGATGATTATCCAAAAGAGTTTTTGTTTCTAAATCAGAAGTCATCTTTCTTACCTTTGCTTCGATGATGAAAATTAATATAGGTGATAATATCAAGATACTGACACCTTTTCAAATGCATATGCACATTATATTGACCCAGTTGAACATTTGTTGATAACATGTATTGCATAAATATGTATGTATCACCAAACTGCAAGCATCTGATGCAACGACATATAGTACCTTACCAGATATACTGACACTTTTTCAAATGCATATGAACATTATTTTGACCCAGTTTGCTGATAACATGTATCGGGTAAATATGTAAATGTGCAATATCACCTATTTTGAAGTCGTGTTTAGATAATGATATGACGTCACACACTCAGATATAGCATTGTGATGTTACATTGATGACAATACATAAGAGGCGAAGTGTCCGTTCTCTATAACTGTTCCGAGGATACTAGATAATGTGACAAAAGGATCTTAATTTCGTTTCAATAAGATATGTCATTGATGAACCTTGTCACATACTTATCATTTTAGCGAGCCTTAAATCAAAGACGAGTTTCATAACATTTGCTGTTTACGTAATTAAGATAAGACATACACATCTGGAAATTTTGCCAAAATTGAATCAGATATTTAAATTCTACTTAATGTGGATATTTTTCAGTGTAAACGGCATGTTAATAGTTGTTTGAGCTGAATTTCCGCTCAAGACCATGCACAGGTGGTAGCTTCATGTTTAACTCTTTCAGTAAACTGTCTTTTGTACAACATGATATTTGCATTGTTTATTAAAATGCACAGTACATATAAATATGTATGTTATAAAAGTAACATAGAGTAAATTCTTTTAATATTGTTTTATTATATTAAATACAGAATATATATATACTGTAAATAAAGGCAACAAAATAATTGATAATATTCAGTCAATTAGTTTTAAACCTCAACAAGTATATGTGATGTAGGATATATATTTAGATATGTCTCAGATAGCATTGCATGCGCTGAAATATAATAGTGTCCAAGTAACACCTATTCACACCTCGCTTGATCTATTCCCACCCGAGTTAACATTGGATGAATGCTGTGTAGTCGACCCATAGGTTGCTATATCGCTTGTCCTTTTGTAAGCAGTACTAGTCCTTTTCGATCCAGCTTCTGGATGCATACCACCAAATAGACATATAATTCTGGAACAGTATGACAAGAATTATGTAATTAGGTTAATTTTTTTGATTTCAACAAATTTTATTGTCAAATTGACAAATAGATTGTAATTAGGTTACACAGGTGTCAGTCAATACAGAAAGGTGTGTTCTATTGGTATTGTGCAAAGTTTGTTCCCTGCTTTGCTTTCTCCAGGCTTTCTAGAGACTAAAACTTCTCAACCATTTGATACATCTGCTATAGAAAGACTCGGTGAGCATAAAAAGAATGGTCATTTTGCCAGATTAGCTCCAGGGTTTGGCCCACGTCCCACCGATCGAAGCGATTTAGGTGTATTCTCTAGCGTTATATTAATACAGTGAGTAAATATATTTTTGTATTCAATTATTGTGTGATTGAAAGAATACAGCTCAATTCGAAATAAGCCAAAGGCATTTTGTCTCCCAAAGCGTTTTCTTCAAGATAGTGACACAACTTGACATATTACAACGAGAACTAACATTACCATCAGCAGTACGAAAAAGTAGAGGCATGCAGCCACTAGGAAGGTAAATCCACGGAGGATCGTTACTGTTGCTTGGTAGATGTTGGTTGCTAAAGAGGTGCCCGCTATAGCCGTTAAGATCACTACGAGTTCATACACCAAGAGCCTTTAAAAGTATCAGATAAATAGAAATAAAGCAACGAGACTCATCTTACACAATGTGATAAAGGTAAAAAGAAATGACGTAGCGAGTCTCATCTCACAAAATGTGATAATGGTGGAAAAAGATATGAAGAATTGAGACTCATCTCACACAATGTAAAAAGAAATGAAGTAACGAGACTCATCTCACACAATGTGATAATGGTAAAAAGAAAAGAAGAAATGAGAAAATAACACTTATCCTATTTTCATTTATGTTATCTCTCTCTCTCTCTCTCTCTCTCTCTCTCTCATTTTGCATTTTTATGAAAAAAATTGGATATTCTTCAAAACATACTCAATGTAATAAATAATCATCAGCGGAAAATGAAAAATTGTTTCGTTGTTCTTATATCATGCAATGCGAAAATTACAGTAATTACCTTGCTTACTCTCCACCACCATCCGAGATAAAGCTGAGCGAATCAACACACCTTGTAACATGGACAGTACTCCAACGCTTGTTCTTGGATAAATAAAACTTGAATAGTCGTTCATTACTTTCCTACTTACAATGCAGACGTCCATGTGAATTCTTCTCAGCATAATTAAATTTTGTTATACGTGCATGCATCAGGAAAAGCGGTCCTTACAACACATTAGAGGTCGCGTTTTGTTAAAGGTATCTTCTGATATTCGTTTTAAAATGCCTCATAAACTGCTCTCGACAACAGAACGTAACGCTCTGCATCAACAGAGGTGAGACGCTGCAATAGGAAATGGCATTTACGTAGCCAGTAGTAAATGTGTATTGATGTGAAAGTATTGTATATTTCAGCTTTCCAATAATGACGAAAAAATAAGCGATTAAAGCATTTGTTACATTGTATACTTTGAATATAAACTTATGAGTGAAGTCTTCATTATTGCAACCATTCAGATGTCTAATAATGACATGGCAACGGACCTTCCTCGCTTCTATTTGATGTTATAACTTCAGAGAAATTCATATCAACAACATTTTATTGCTGGCTGGTCTAATAGGTCTATCAAGTCTTTACCAAAGCTTCTTACTAAGATTCTTGATATACCAATTCATGATTATTGTTTTTTTAGTAGCATTATGTAGATTTTAAAGAACCCAAAAAAGCTTTTGGCGAACTTGAGATATCCTCTTTAAGAAAACTCTATCAGAACAATGTTTTCTTTTTTCAATCTGTATAGCATTCGTTCTCTAGTTATGTATGCTCTTTCTTTTCGAAGAGATGTCGATAACCGTGCAAATGTATGGTTGGAAACTGTGATGAAGCGCATTTCGTGAAAATACGTCCAAAATAAAAACAGATAAATACGGAGATCGATATCATAGTAATAACCAAGATCCTTTCTGACAATATCTTTGTCGTGCTTTTGTTTGTTTTCATACGAAGCTGAATTTATTGAAGAGCTTATCAAAAGAGGTCACAAAGATCTTGCAAAGTAATTCCATTTTCATTTTCATATATATTGATGAAGTGTTGCCTTTCAATAACAACAAACTCATTGACCACGTCCATCGTATATACAGACTAGAATTGGAAATCAAAGACACGACAGACTTTTCTACGTCAGCTGCTTATCTCGATCCTTTCCTACAACGAAACCGTCATGAACAGCTTTTTATCAAATTGTATGATAAACGTGATGATTTCAATTTTAACTTGTACATTTTCCATTTCCTGATAGCGATGAACCTGCATCCCCAACCTATGGTGTTTACATGTACCATAATGTTATCATTGAAGACATTTATATTTCTTTGTACGATATGTCGTTGCATGTGTTTGATGCTCGTTAGTTTGCCTGTTGGTCCCGTTGTTGTATACCTTGTTCTCATTTAAGAACATGGCATTACTTAATATGTTTGACCAAGGTTTACATGACTTTTTTAAAGGCTGAATTTATCAATGAGTTTATTAACACAGGCCACAAAGATCTTGTCATGTCCTTGAACTTCACTTTTAGATAAAATATATGTTTACTGGTATTTTGAAAACGAGAAATTAATTAATGTCCATCGTATTTACCCACCTGAATTAGAAATCAAATACACGACAGAATCTACTATTCAGACATTTATCAAGATCATTTCCTACAACTAAAACAACAAGGACAGCTGTCCAGCTTTTTCATGAGTGATTCTTTACATTTTACTATAGTTTTTTTTCCAGTATTTCAACCAATGCTGCTTACAAGTCACAGCTGACTCTTTATTTAAAGGCGTGTTTGTAATATTGCAATATTTGTGTAAAATGTCGACAACTCACAAATATAATCACAAACCAGAGAATTGCAAGTAAATGAATCTCATTAGGAAATTTATGATCGCCATAGCGATATCATACAAATTTATTTTAATTTGCTCGTTAGTATACATCCGATACTGTTCACTTTGTTCTCAGTTACAAAGGTGACATTGCTTATTTGCAAGACGATTACCGCCAATGAAACATCTCGTTTTATTCTATTTGCACTTTTCCGGGGTCCTCGTAGTAGTCTTTTGTTAATTGAATTTAAGTTTAGAAATAAGAATGCTTTGATATGTTGGCATTTTGTTACTTGTTGTTGCTTTATTTGTAAAGTACTTAAAAGAAACAAAACATAATCTCCTTCACATGAACATGTATGCTTATGTAGCATATTTCTGGCATCCATGTACAAACAGTTCATGTCTTTTGAAACTTTTTTTGAAGATTACTATCATAATTGATCTTCTTACTTGATTCAGCTCTTGTCATAGACGCGAGTAGGAGGAACACAAAATTGGGTGATATCAACATCGATATCGATTTTTCAAAAGGTGCTATTTTGTAGTCTTCAGGAAAATGACAGAAATTGTGTCATCAATAAACAGAATAATTTCAACAATTTGAATTCTAGTGTCCACCTGAATTATTTCAACGATAAATAAAACAATATCCTATTTTCATGCAAATACTGCCGTACTCTGGTCTTATCGCTTAATGGCTTAATCTTTCTCCATATCTTGAAAACTATTCATATGGACATTATTTTTAAAAGATTTTGACAATGTTCTTTGTAGTGATATAAATAACACATTTATATTATCCAGAGGTTGAACTTTGAAAAAATGAATATCAATGTTAATATCAATATTCTTGTCACATTAATTAGCGCAGAGTGTACATCACTCCAAAAGTCTCCAGGATATATATCGAGGGCGATACATATCAACTATATCAGTTTGTATGTTGTAGGAGGAACTGTTGTAAATAAGACATGGAATGTGTATTTCCGGCAGTAAAATACTAAAAATAAACATTAATGGTGATGCCTGCCCCCTCCTTCCCCCAATCATCATCGCAGCATGTCCTTGTCTTATTACATTGTCATCAACGTCACAGAGTTTGGTTTTCAGAGTATTCACACAAACTGTGATAACATGATAATATACTGGGATGGAATTGACATCGGATCAGTTTTGTATTGTGAATGGTGTCTTTTTATGTTTACAGCAGAGAAGGAACCTGGGAAAATAAATGCGGTTTTGTTACCAACTAGATAAACTTGTACATATTGATTTAAGTTATCAAAAAACGTTAATATTAACAGTCAATCAACGCCAACTCCGGTTATGTATTTGTGGTCTTTGATATGTTGTATGATTATAATTTTCACATTTATTTTAATAAAATAAAGCATTTATTGGCAAAACAATGTTATAAACTCCATATTTATATCAGTATGATTTTTAGCATTGAAAAATCATAGTTGGCCTCCTAAACATATTATCAATTTACTATATGTTGTTATTGAGCATTACAAAGGTAATTTCAATGACTTATACTTACATGAACACAATCAACGATGTTAGGTTAAATACCCCCATTATAAGGAATACAAAACCGGCCATGAAAGTCTGAGTCCGAGCGTATATTTCGCTGAAGATAGTCTTGCCGACCATATTACATATGTTATCAATCACATATGTATTGCCAAATACAGCACCTTAAATATATAAGCATGATCACCATACACAACAACAATCACATATAAAATAAGAATTTCTAAATCAAATATTCTTCATTAAAATTAGTTTGTCTCATTTGGATTACATTACTTACTGCATTCGGCTACCATTATATCAAATCATAATAACATTCGAATTTCAAATTATAAATATATATATGATCTCAAGTGAGTTTCTTTCTTATTTTTTCTTACGATATTGTTTTAAACAAGTCTTAGGAGTTTCATTTTTGCGGGGTGTGGTAAGCAAACAATAAAGTTTTGAAGCGTGTTTTATAAAATTTCATATGAAATGAAAACAAAATCACAAACGTTATATTTTGGCAGGTTTCGGAAGAAAAAAGTGGAGGCTAAGCTCAAACGGAGGCAAATATTTTGGTTGCGTCATTTTCAATTAATGACATATCATTGTCGATATTACTTATTATTGTAAGTATTTTGATTCAGGTTGATACGATCCAGATCGTGAAGAATAGAACGCTCATAGTTTCTTCTGATTTAGATATATTTCATTGTGTATTTCTCACATGTGAATCGACAATAAACAAGGATCATTCTTAATTACAAATTCTGATATCTAAAAAAAGCCGTGCAAGATAAAAAGTGTAGTAAAAATGTATAATGAGAATTGCAACCTTTGTTTTAAATGGCTTTCAAATATATTTATAACCACTTCAAAAATAATTCTGAGGTGACCATTGACTACACAAAATGAGAACAATTTCCGGAAAATACCTTGTTTATCTTTTTCGATCAAGTTAGAGGCAAAAGCTCGGAGAAGAGGTCTAGACATGAGAGAGAGCATACCCGCCGCTGAACCTGCACGAAAAAAGAGTTAACCATTATTCAATGCACTTTACAACATATAATGATATAACAATATATATTGTGTTTGTCGTCTTCATCAATTCAACAATTTAAATCCTTATCATCATGGATGCGTGCTGAAAGAACGAAAAAGTTGCATATGTGATTTTTATCATCAGTTTGGTCTAATTTATGTAATCTTAATATTTTGTTAACGGTATAATGAAACGCCGCCAATTAATATGCAAAACTCACAACTTACAAATATTGGAAATATTAAAATATGTAAAAATGAAAACCAGTTAATAACAGGTTTGTGATCTTCAAAGGAAGTAATTGATAAAAATCCATAGAAAAATAAAAGTATTGCAAATTAATCATGAACTGCTTATTTTGTGCATGAATTTCCCGGAATGCATAGGTCAAAGGTCACTGTGCCAGTCTATTAACAAGGATTGATAGTTTGTATCATGTGTAAACATCTCATTAACAATTGTAATGGTTTATTAGTGTGTTAGATTTGAATAACACACTCCTTTTGTGATGGATCTAATTTTTGCACCAATGAGATGACAGTCTATATTGTTGTTTTAACGATATATCTAACAATGAGATTGTTTCAAAATACATCCAGCTTACGGTCACGCATAAAAGTGAGAAGGTAGTATAATAGTATTTATTTACCAGTAGATATGGAGTTTCAAAAATTATTTAACTAACTTATTCGTAACAAATCATGGATGGGGCGATAGCAAATTTAAAGCATGTACCACATTTAAATATATATATATATGTTTTTTATATTAACTTGATACTCACTTATATACAGCATCAGACTTGTGTCAGCAAAACCTGTAATAACTGAAGAAGCAATAGCGGATGTGATGGTGATCATGATCACTGTAACGTCAGGAAGGCACATCTGCAGCCACTTAACAACTACCAAACCAAAGAGGTATTTTAAAATATCGGTTCCGAATCCATACCACCCTATTTTACTTGAATCCCAACAAAATGGCGAACGAAGCTGATAAAGTGCTCCAATTGTAGAGTAATCCGATGCAGCCATAAGCAAGAGAAAAATAGTTAACATTGTCAAATTGAATGTTAAAACACTGCCAGTCAGGATATAAGATTTGCTTAAAAACATTCCAAAAATATTTTTTAGATGAACGCCTATTGTGATATGTTTGGTTGATCTAGGTAAACGTGTTTCCTTTATTGCAAACAGTGTAATGAAGAAACACACAGCGAATATTCCTGACGATGCTACCATGGGGTACAAATATCCAAACTCCTTTATCAGGTACCCAGTACCAACTTGAGCGGTACTTATACCAACCCCAGTTACCGCTTCGAATAATGCTACACCAAAAGCCCTCTTCTTGTTATTGTCCGTTTTGTCTGCAACAGATGCGCTCATCGCAATATAAAATGGGAAGTGGCCACCACTTATTCCCGACAAAACATACGGAATAAAGAAATAAACTAATGAAAGGTTTTTGTAAACAATAAAACTCTTGATAGCATATTGTAGACAGTAGCCGATACAGGAAATCATCATAAGCGGTTTTCTTCCAACGAAATCCGAATATGAACTATACATCATTATCATCGGAATAGCTATCCCATGTTCACATAGGGAAAAGTATAACAACCATAATGCCGCCTCTGACTGGTCTTTCTTTTCACTTTTGGCGCTGACACTGCCCCCACACGGATCTGGTGATATAGTTGTCGATGTGCTGTCATAAGAAGTGTTCATCACGTTGGTGCTCGAGTTTGAATTTTCCTCTACCCACTTATATACATACTGGTTTTTCGTCAAACCACCCATTTCTGACCCTATCAGAAACAGAATGATCAAAACCACACGAAAACATATATCCAATAAAGACGTAGAAGAATCCGATGGATTTTTCTCAGTTCGCTCTTCCTCTTGATGATTATCCAAAAGAGTTTTTGTTTCTAAATCAGAAGTCATCTTTCTTACCTTTGCTTCGATGATGAAAATTAATATAGGTAATAATATCAAGATACTGACACCTTTTCAAATGCATATGCACATTATATTGACCCAGTTGAACATTTGTTGATAACATGTATCGGATAAATATGTATGTATCACCAAACTGCAAACATCTGATGCAACGACAGATAGTACCTTACCAGATGCGCATTATTTTGACCCAGTTTGCTGATAACATGTATCGGGTAAATATGTAAATGTGCAATATCACCTATTTTGAAGTCGTGTTTAGGTAATGAGATGACGTCACACACTCAGATATGGCATTGTGACGTTACATTGATGACAATACATAAGAGGCGAAGTGTCCGTTCTCTATAACTGTTCCAAGGATACTAGATAATGTGACAACAAGGATCTTAATTTCGTTTGGCAATATATTATATGTCATTGATGAACCTTGTCACATACTTATCATTTTAGCGAGCCTTAAATCAAAGACGAGTTTCATAACATTTGCTGTTTACGTAATTAAGATAACACATACACATCTGGAAATTTTGCCAAAATTGAAATGTTTGCGAAAAGATATTTGAATTCTACTTAATGTGGATATTTTTCAATGTAAATGGCACGTTAAAAGTTGGTTGAGCTGAATTTCCGCTCAAGACCATGCACATATGGTAGCTTCATGTTTAAGACTTTCAGTAAACTGTCTTTTGTACAACATAATGTTTGCATTCTTTAGTACAAAGCATAGTACATATAAATATGTATGTTATAAAAGTAACAAAGAGTAAATTCTTTTAATGTTGTTTTATTATCTTAAATACAGAATATATATATACTGTAAATAAAGGCAACAAAATAATTGATAATATTCAGTCAATTAGTTTTACACCTCAACAAGTATATGTGATGTAGGATATATGTTTAGATATGTCTCAGATAGCATTGCATGCGCTGAAATATAATAGTGTCCAAGTAACACCTATTCACACCTCGCTTGATCTATTCCCACCCGAGTTCACATTGGATGAATGCTGTGTAGTCGACCCATAGGTTGCTATATAGCTTGTTCTTTTGTAAGCAGTACTAGTCCTTTTCGATCCAGCTTCTGGATGCATACCACCAAATAGACATATAATTCTGGAACAGTATGACAAGAATTATGTAATTAGGTTAATTTTTTTGATTTCAACAAATTTTATTGTCAAATTGACAAATAGATTGTAATTAGGTTACACAGGTGTCAGTCAATACAGAAAGGCGTGTTCTATTGGTATTGTGCAAAGTTTGTTCCCTGCTTTGCTTTCCCCAGGGTTTCTAGAGACTAAAACTTCTCAACCATTTGATACATCTGCTATAGAAAGACTCGGTGAGCATAAAAAGAATGATCATTTTGCCAGATTAGCTCCAGGGTTTGGCCCACGTCCCACCGATCGAAGCGATTTAGGTGTATTCTCTAGCGTTATATTAATACAGTGAGTAAATATATTTTTGTATTCAATTATTGTGTGATTGAAAGAGTACAGCTCAATTCGAAAAAAGCCAAAGGCATTTCGTCTCCCAAAGCGTTTTCTTCAAGATAGTCACACAACTTGACCTATTACAATGAGTACTTACATTACCAACAGCACTACAAAAAAGTATGCAGCCACTAGGAAGGTAAATCCACGGAGGATCGTTACTGTTGCTTGGTAGATGTTGGTTGCTAAAGAGGTGCCCGCTATAGCCGTTAAGATCACTACGAGTTCATACACCAAGAGCCTTTAAAAGTATCAGATAAATAGAAATAAAGCAACGAGACTCATCTCACACAATGTGATAAAGGTAAAAAGAAATGACGTAGCGAGTCTCATCTCACAAAATGTGATAATGGTGGAAAAAGATATGAAGAATTGAGACTCATCTCACACAATGTTAAAAGAAATGAAGTAACGAGACTCATCTCATACAATGTTATAAAGGTAAAAAGAAAAGAAGAAATGAGAAAATAACACTTATCCTATTTTCATTTATGTTATCTCTCTCTCTCTCTCTCTCTCTCTCTCTCTCTCTCTCTCTCTCTCTCATTTTGCGTTTTTATGAAAAATTTGGGTATTCTTCAAAACATACTCAATAGTTAATAAATAATCATCAGCGGAAAATGAAAAATTGTTTCGTTGTTCTTATATCATGCAATGCGAAAGTTACAGTAATTACCTTGCTTTCTCACCACCACCATCACAGATAAAGCTGAACGAATCGCCACACCTTGTAACATGGACAGTACTCCAACGCTTGTTCCTGGAAAAATAAAACTTGAATAGTCGTTCATTACTTTTCCTACTTACAATGCAGACGTCCATGTAAATGCTTCTCAGTATAATTAAATTTTGTTATACGTGCATGCATCAGGAAAAGCGGTCCTTACAACACATTAGAGGTCGCGATTTGTTAAAGGTATCTTCTGATATTCGTTTTAAATGTATCATAAACTGCTCTCGACAACTGAACGTAACGCTCTGCATCAACAGAGGTGAGACGCTGCAATAGGAAATGGCATTTACGTAGCCAGCAGTAAATGTTTATTGATGTGAAAGTATTGTATATTTCAGCTTTCCAATAATGACGAAAAAATAAACGATTAAAGAATTTGTTACATTGTATACTTTGAATATAAACTTATGAGTGAAGTCTTCATTATTGCAACCATTCAGATGTCTAATAATGACATGGCAACGGACCTTCCTCGCTTCTATTTGATGCTATAACTTCAGAGAAATTCATATCAACAACATTTTATTGCTGGCTGGTCTAATAGTTCTATCAAGTCTTTACCAAAGCTTCTTACTAAGATTCTTGATATACCAATTCATGATTATTTTTTTAGTAGCATTATGTAGATTTTAAAGAACCCAAAAAAGCTTTTGGCGAACTTGAGATATCCTCTTTAGGAAAACTCTATCAGAACAATGTTTTCTTTTTTCAATCTGTATAGTATTCGTTTTCTAGTTATGTACGCTTTTTTCCGAAGAGATGTCGATGACCGTACAAATGTATGGTTGGAAACTGTGATGAAGCGCATTTCGTGAAAATACGTCCAAAATAAAAACAGATAAATACGGAGATCGATATCATAGTAATAACCAAGATCCTTTCTGACAATATCTTTGTCGTGCTTTTGTTTGTTTTCATACGAAGCTGAATTTATTGAAGAGCTTATCATAAAAGGTCACAAAGATCTTGCAAAGTCATTTCATTTTCATTTTCATATATATTGATGAAGTGTTGCCTTTCAATAACAACAAACTCATTGACCACGTCCATCGTATATACAGACCAGAATTGGAAATCAAAGACACGACAGACTCTTCTACATCAGCTGCTTATCTCGATCCTTTCCTACAACGAAACCGTCATGAACAGCTTTTTATCAATCTGTATGATAAACGTGATGATTTCAATTTTAACTTGTACATTTTCCATTTCCTGATAGCGATGAACCTGCATCCCCAACCTATGGTGTTTACATGTACCATAATGTTATCATTGAAGACATTTATATTTCTTTGTACGATATATCGTTGCATGTGTTTGATGCTCGTTATTTTGCCTGTTGGTCCCGTTGTTGTATACCTTGTTCTCATTTAAGAACATGGCATTACTTAATATGTTTGACCAAGGTTTACATGACTTTTTTAAAGGCTGAATTTATCAATGAGTTTATTAACACAGGCCACAAAGATCTTGTCATGTCCTTGAACTTCACTTTTAGATAAAATATATGTTTACTGGTATTTTGAAAACGAGAAATTAATTAATGTCCATCGTATTTACCCACCTGAATTAGAAATCAAATACACGACAGAATCTACTATTCAGACATTTATCAAGATCATTTCCTACAACTAAAACAACAAGGACAGCTGTCCAGCTTTTTCATGAGTGATTCTTTACATTTTGCTATAGTTTCTTTCCAGTATTTCAACCAATGCTGTTTACAAGTCACAGCTGACTCTTTATTTAAAGGCGTGTTTGTAATATTGCAATAGTTGTGTAAAATGTCGACAACTCACAAATATAATCACAAACCAGAGAATTGCAAGTAAATGAATCTCATTAGCAAATTTATGATCGTCATATCGATATCATACAAATTTATTTGAATTTGCTCGTTAGTATACATCCGATACTGTTCACTTTGTTCTCAGTTACAAAGGTGACATTGCTTATTTGCAAGACGATTACCGCCAATGAAACATCTCGTTTTATTCTATTTGTACTTTCCCGGGGTCCCCGTAGTGGTTTTTCTTTTGTTAATTGAATTTGAGTTTAGAAATAAGAATGCTTTGACATGTTGGCACTTTCTTATTTGTTATTGCTTTATTTGTAAAGTACTTAAAAGAAACAAAACATAATCTCCTTCACATGAACATGTATGTTAATGTAGCATATTTCTGTCATCCATGTACAAACAGTTCATGTCTTTTGAAACTTTTTTTGAAGATTACTATCATAATTGATCTTCTTACTTGATTCAGCTCTTGTCATAGACGCGAGTAGGAGGAACACAAAATTGGGTGATATCAACATCGATATCGATTTTTCAAAAGGTGCTATTTTGTAGTCTTCAGGAAAATGACAGAAATTGTGTCATCAATAAACAGAATAATTTCAACAATTTGAATTCTAGTGTCCACCTGAATTATTTCAACGATAAATAAAACAATATCCTATTTTCATGCAAATACTGCCGTACTCTGGTCTTATCGCTTAATGGCTTAATCTTTCTCCATATCTTGAAAACTATTCATATGGACATTATTTTTAAAAGATTTTGACAATGTTCTTTGTAGTGATATAAATAACACATTTATATTATCCAGAGGTTGAACTTTGAAAAAATGAATATCAATGTAAATATCAATATTCTTGTCACATGAATTAGCGCAGAGTGTACATCACTCCAAAAGTCTCCAGGATATATATCGAGGGCGATACATATCAACTATATCAGTTTGTATGTTGTAGGAGGAACTGTTGTAAATAAGACATGGAATGTGTATTTCCGGCAGTAAAATACTAAAAATAAACATTAATGGTATATGCCTGCCCCCTCCTTCCCCCAATCATCATCGCAGCATGTCCTTGTCTTATTACATTGTCATCAACGTCACAGAGTTTGGTTTTCACAGTTTTCACACAAACTGTGATAACATGATGATATGTTGGGATGGGATTGACATCGGATCAGTTTTGTATGGTGAATGGTCTCGTTTTAGGTTTACAGCAGAGAAGGAACCTGGGAAAAGAAAATGTGGTTTTGTTAACAACTATATAAACTTGTACATATTGATTTAAGTTATCAAAACGCGTTAATATTAACAGTCAATCAACGTCATCTTCGGTTTTGTATTTGTGTTCTTTGATATGTTTTGTCATCATAATTTTCACATTTATTTTAATAAGATGAAGCATTTATTGGCAAAACAATATTATAAATTCCATATTTATATCAGTATGATTTTTAGCATTGAAAAATCATAGTTGGCCTCCTAAACATATTATCAATTTACTATATGTTGTTATTGAGCATTACAAAGGTAATTTCAATGACTTATACTTACATGAACACAATCAACGATGTTAGGTTAAATACCCCCATTATAAGGAATACAAAACCGGCCATGAAAGTCTGAGTCCGAGCGTATATTTCGCTGAAGATAGTCTTGCTGAGCATACTACATATGTTTTCAATCACATATGTATTGCCAAATACAGCACCTTTAATATATAAGCATGATCACCATACACAAAAACTAATCACATATAAAATAATTTCTAAATCAAATATTCTTCATTAAAATTAGTTTGTCTCATTTGGATTACATTACTTACTGCATTCGGCTACCATTATATCAAATCATAATAACATTCGAATTTCAAATTATAAATATATATATGATCTCAAGTGAGTTTCTTTCTTATTTTTTCTTACGATATTGTTTTAAACAAGTTTTAGAAGTTTCATTTTTGCGGGGTTTGGTAAGCAAACAATAAAGTTTTGAAGCGTGTTTTATAAAATTTCATATGAAATGAAAACAAAATCACAAACGTTATATTTTGGCAGGTTTCGGAAGAAAAAAGTGGAGGCTAAGCTCAAACGGAGGCAAATATTTTGGTTGCGTCATTTCCAATTAATGGCATATTATTGTCGATATTACTTATTATTGTAAGTATTTTGATTCATGTTAATCCGATCCAGAACGGGAAGAATAAAACGTTCATAGTTTCCTCTTTATTTAGATACATTTCATTGTGTTTTCTCACATGTGAATCGACAATAAACAAGGATCATTCTTAATTACAAATTCTGATATCTAAAAAAGCCGTGCAATATAAAAGGTCTAGTAAAAATGTATAATGAGAATTATCATCGCAACCTTTGTTTTAAATGGCTTTCAAATATATATATAAGCACTTTAAAAATAATTCTGAAGTGACCATTGACTACACAAAATGAGAACCATTTCCAGAAAATACCTTGTTTATCTTTTTCAATCAAGTTAGATGAAAAAGCTCGGAGAAGAGGTCTAGACATGAGAGAGAGCATACCCGCCCCTGAGCCTGCATGAAAAAAAAGAGTAAACCGTTATTCAATGCACTTTACAACATATAATGATATAACAATATATATTGTGTTTGTCATCTTCAACAATTCAACAATTTAAATCCCTTGTCATCATGGATGAGTGCTGAAAGAACGTAAAAGTTCCATGTGTGATTTTTATCATTAGTTTGGTCTAATGTAAGTAATCTTAATATTTTGTTAACGGTATAATGAAACACCGTTAATTAATATGTAAAACTCACAACTTACTAATACTGGAAATATTAAAATCTGTAAAAATGAAAAACAGTTAATAACAGGTTTGTGATCTTCAAAGGAAGTAACTGATAAAAATCCTTAGAAAAAGAAAAGTATTGCAAAACTACCGTGAACTGCTTATTTTGTGCATGAATTTCCCGGAATGCATAGGTCAAAGGTCACTGTGCCAGTCTATTAACAAGGATTGATAGTTTGTACCACCTGTAAACGTCTCATTAACAATTGTAATGGTTTATTAGTTAGTTAGAGTTGAATAACACACTCCTTTTGCGATAGATCTAATTTTTGTACCAATGAGATGACACTTTATATTGTTGTTTTAACGATATATCTAACAATAAGATTGTTTCAAACTACTTTTAGCTTACGGCCACGCATAAAAATGAGAAGGTAGTATAATAGTATTTATTTACCAGTAGATATGGAGTTTCAAAAATGATTTTATTAACTCATTCGTAACGAATCATGGATGAGGCGATAGCAAATTTAAACCACATTTTGAAAATATATATATGTTTTTTTTTTTATATTTACTTGATACTCACTTATATACAGCATCAGACTTGTGTCAGCAAAACCTGTAATAACTGAAGAAGCAATAGCGGATGTGATGGTGATCATGATCACTGTACCGTCAGGAAGGCACATCTGCAGCCACTTAACAACTACCAAACCAAAGAGGTATTTTAAAATATCGGTTCCGAATCCATACCACCCTATTTTTCTTGAATCCCAACAAAATGGCGAACGAAGCTGATAAAGTACTCCAATTGTAGAGGAATCCGATGCAGCCATAAGCAAGAGAAAAATAGTTAACATTGTCAAATTGAATGTTAAAACACTGCCAGTCAGGATGTAAGATTTGCTTAAAAACATTCCAAAAATATTTTTGAGATGAACGCCAATTGTGATATGTTTAGTTGATCTAGGTAAACGTGTGTCCTTTATCGCAAACAGTGTAATGAAGAAACACACAGCGAATATTCCTGACGCTGCTACCATGGGGTACATATATCCAAAACTCTTTATCAGGTACCCAGTACCAACTTGAGCGGAACTCACACCAACCCCAGTTACCGCTTCGAATAATGCTATACCAAAAGCCCTCTTCTTGTTACTGTCCGTTTTGTCTGCCACAGATGCTGTCATCGCAATATAAAATGGGTAGTGGCCACCACTTATTCCCGCCAAAACATATGGAATAAAGAAATAAACTAACGAAAGATTTTTGTAAACAATAAAACCCTTGGTAGCATATTGTAGACAGTAGCCGATACAGGAAATTATCATAAGCGGTTTTCTTCCAACGAAATCCGAATATGAACTATACATCAATATCATCGGAATAGCTATCCCATGCTCACATAGGGAGAAGTATAACAACCATAATGCAGCCTCTGACTGGTCTTTCTTTTCACTTTTGGCGCTGACACTGCCCCCACACGGATCTGGTGATATAGTTGTCGATGTGCTGTCATAAGAAGTGTTCATCACGTTGGTGCTTGAGTTTGAATTTTCCTCTACCCACTTATATACATACTGGTTTTTCGTCAAACCACCCATTTGTAACCCTATCACAAACAGAATGATCACAACCACACGAATAAATATATCCAATAAAGACGTAGAAGAATCCAATGGACTTTTCTCAGTTCGCTCTTCCTCTTGATGATTATCCAAAAGAGTTTTTGTTTCTAAATCAGAAGTCATCTTTCTTACCTTTGCTTCGATGATGAAAATTAATATAGGTGATAATATCAAGATACTATGGCATTTCCAAATGCATATGGAGATACATTATATTGACCCAGTTGACTATTTGTTGATAACTTGTATCGAGTAAATATGTATGTCAAGTTCATTATATGTATCACCAAACTGCAAGCATCTCATAACACCGTATCTCATACAACGACAGATAGTACCTTACCAGATAAAAGCATATCAGCATATCCATATGCTGTACATATTTAACATACATACGTTATACGTTATTATCGCGATTCCGTGGTGTTTATATGCTCGAGGATCATAACTCGTATACCCAGAAGTCAGATGATAGCTGGCTAATAGGATGAAGCAATTAAGAATTGACGTCTTTTTGGTTTTGTTTTGCGACATTGTCTGGTTTTATTAGAAGAATTTATATTCTATTGACTTCGTTATTTCATCCTCAGGACATATTGTAAACAAATCCTTAATTTGAATATTGTTTTATTATCTTAAATACAGAATATGTAGATACTGTAAATAAAGGCAAAAAATGATTTATAATGTTCAATCAATCAATTTTACACCTCAACGAGATCACAAGTAAGTATACATGATGTAGAATATATGTATAAATATGTCTTTAATACACAAAAATACACATGGAACTCTCAGATAGCATTGCAACCGCTGAAAAATATGATAGCGTCCAAGTAACACCTATTCACACCTCGCTTGATATATTCCCACCCGAGTTCACATTGGATGGATGCTGTGTAGTTGACCCATAGGTTGCTATATCGCTTGTCCTTTTGTAAGCAGTACTAGTCCTTTTCGATCCAGCTTCTGGATGCATACCACCAAATATACATATAATTCTGGAACAGTATGATAAGAATTACGTAATTAGGTTATACAGGTGTCAGTCAATACAGAAAGGGTACAGTAATAATATCAGGCGTGTTTTTATTGGTATTGTGCTCCCTAATTTCCCCAGGCTTTCTAGAGACTACAACTTCTCAACCATTGATACATCCACTAAAGAAAGACACGGTAAGCATGAAAACAATTATCATGTTGCCAGATTAGCTCCAGGGTTCGGCCCACGTCCTACCGATCGAAGCGATTTAGATGTATTCTCTAACGTTATATTAATACAGTAAATATATTTTTGTATTCAATTATTGTGTGATTGAAAGAGTACAGCTCAATTCGAAAAAAGCCAAAGGCATTTCGTCTCCCAAAGCGTTTTCTTCAAGATAGTCACACAACTTGACATATTACAATGAGTACTTACATTACCAACAGCACTACGAAAAAGTAGAGGCATGCAGCCACTAGGAAGGGAAATCCACGGAGGATCGTTACTGTTGCTTGGTAGATGTTGGTTGCTAAAGAGGTGCCCGCTATAGCCGTTAAGATCACTACGAGTTCATACACCATAAAGAAAGAGCCTTTAAAAGTATCAGATAAATAGAAATAAAGCAACGAGACTCATCTCACACAATGTGATAAAGGTAAAAAGAAATGAAGTAACGGGACTCATCATACACAACATGATAAGGAAATGAGAAAAGAACACCTATCCGATTTTCACTGATGTTATGTTTTTCTTTTCTCTCTTTTTTCGAATTTTTATGAAAAATATGAGTATTCTTCGAAACATACTCAATAGGTTCTCTAATAAATAATCATTAGCGGAAAATGAAAAATTGTGTCGTTTTTCTTATATTAAGCCACGTGAAAATTACAGTAATCACCTTGCTTACTCTCTATCACCATCCGGGATAAAGCTGAGCGAATCACCACACCTTGTAACATGGACAGTACTCCAACGCTTGTTCCTGGATAAATAAAACTTGTTCATTACTTATCCCTACATACATTGTAGAAAATACTTAAATATAATAAAGGATTGTCATCTTCAAGTTCAGATATATTTGTTCATATACCAGAAGACTGAGCACTGGAGATCGTGCTTTACAATGAAGTACATGAATTACTTGATGAGTGAATACTATTTCAGTTTTAAACATTTCATCTGCGTATATCCACGTCCACGACCATTACAAAAGTTACAAAATACACACAAATGAATAGCACCTTTTGACATAAATTTAGAGCTTCAGTACAGCCAAAACTTATCAAACTGCATCATATAGCTGTTTCATCCTACGGGCCTATATGTTGGAGCCGTGGAGGCGACTGAGGAAAATCCAAAGTGATCGCAATAAAAGTCAAATCCATTATAAAGGAAATGCCACCTTTGCCGATTGACGTGATCGACTAAAGATACCACGACGTAGCCTTAACAAAGCGAAAATAATTATATCCTGTAAATAAAAAACTTTCACTCTAAATTACTTATATTTGCAGGGTTCATATTTTGCTCTTCGATAAATAGTTATTTTCAAAGTCCATCATCATAATAAATAAGTAAAAACTTATGGTATGAATTAATGATTTTTTCATTTATTCTACAAGCTTTACATTCTTCTTTTTCATCCTCATATCATTATAATAATGTACAAATATTTTTCTCTTTTGTTTCAAAAAACACTATAAAAATGCAGAATGTTCCACCCGCGAAATGTAAGTAATCAGCGTCAACTGATTTTAACATTACTCTTAGATGACATAGAAGATTGCACAGAATGCTTATGGTAAAGATAACTATAATGTTATGACAGTAGTAGCCTCCGAAAAGTAGGTTGGGAGATATGGCGGCACGGAGAGATATAGAAATGTAGAAAAAGAAACAAACGAAAGATAAATAGATATGGATTGAAAATGTTTGTTTATTCCCCAAAACAGCAATTATTATATTTCAATTAATAGATCATTTTGTACATTTTCTATCAATATAAATATATTTTTTAGTGCATGGTCATATGCTAATTTGTGGAAATGGTCTGTTTACGAAAAGATATTGTTACGTGTTATATCTTATGTCATAAACCATGGTCTTAGATAGCGTTAATCCGTACACAAAAATGAAGTACAATAATCAGACACTTCATTGAAACCTAGAACTAGGTATAATTTGTAAATAGTTTGCAGCCAGTAATTTCATATAAAAAGGGAGGAAAATAAATGATCTTACCCAAATAAAGCATCCATGATTGTGAAGCAAGACCCATTACGACTTTGTTGCTGATCGACGACATTAGCCCTATAATAGCTAAAGGTTCGTCCTTTCCGTGTTTCACGAACAGTTTTAGCAACATTGCTCCTATCGTTGTATGGATCAAAGACGTTGATGCCGAGTACCAGCCAATGCTTTTCGAGTTCCAACAAAATGGAAACCCCATGTAGTAGATCGTTGATATTCCAGATACTGCCATACCGGAAATTTCTAGAGATATGAACATGAAAAAGCAGTAAAAGAACTTCCATCGTTTATTGCCATGGATCTGTGTTTTGTCATACAAAAATGACATAGAATCTTTGAAAATCTCAAACGTTGGTTTCTTTTTGGATTTCCGTTGTAGCGTTTCTGGTACAAAACCGATTATAAAGATAACCATGAAAATATTAAGACCAGCAGTCAATACTACTGGGAAGAAGTACCCCATGCTTGATATCATATATCCAGCTCCAATTTTGGCTGCAAAAGTTCCTATTCCTAGAAACACGTCCACAAGAGCCAGCGCCGTCGTTCTTGTTTGATTCCTTTCAGTTGTATCTGCAATACTAGCATTAGTTGCAATACTGAATAAGTACCTACAGCCAGTTAAACCCTCCACACCTGCTGCGATCACGAAGAAATACATTGGTAACTTCATGTAAATGGCGACAGCTTTTATTCCATATTCTAGAAACATACCAACCGTAGATATCAAAAATAACGGTTTACGGCCTATTTTGTCTGAGTATATTCCAAACAGCATTACAATTGGAAGAGTTGTTACATGTTCGACAGTATTACAATAGAACGACCATTTTGCAGCAAGCTTTTGTCCCATTATTTCGTCCATAGAACTTTCGTTTAATTTTTTACCGCATGCATTTTTTGTCACATTTTGATGTCTTAAAATGGTTGAGTTGGCGGTTCTTGATAAATCTCTCGTAAATTGAACGATATACTGACTCTTAGCTTCGGATCCAAAATCTAACACAAGTGATGAAAATACAACTGCAATTACAAACGCTTTGTTGCTCGTCACAGGAGAAGTAATGCATTTTACCTTGCCGTTCGTTTGACCTTTGGAAGAGTCAATACTACTTACAAGTACAGAACGTTCCCTCTTAGGTACCATAGTGAGCTATTGCGATGTTACATACAAACAGAAAACTTTTTAAAAAGTCTGCTGAATTATGGCATCATGTCGAGACTTTTGGACACTGATAAAAGCGAATATAGGCTTAAACATCGACCATCGTAATTTATCCTTATACTGTCCGCTTGCAGTTGTGTATTAAAATCAAATCATGATAAATGTCCTTGTTATGTAGATAAACATCTATATTTGCACATATAGTTCACATATGTATATTGATTGTACATACAATGTATCATTCTCATTTGCATAGTGTGTTATGGCTATAAAAGCATTCTTAAAATGAATTTTATTCGTTTGTAATATATGTGTAAATTGGTTGATTCATTTTTGATAAATTGATTGGGATTTATTTTCGTTGAAATTATGGATAATCTTAATCCATCAGAATATCCACGAAATCATAAAAGGTTTAAAGTTGACATGAATCATGGTACTAAAGGATTCGATGACGAAATTAAGAGCCAACGAAAATGTATGCTTTTGGAAAACAACGAAATTTGAGCCACAAGAAAATATATCACAGTAAATGACGATCTAACCACGGAATGAAGAGTCAACGAAAATGTATCGTTTTGGAAAACCACGAAATTTGAGTCACAGTGCTTGCAATTCGTTCAGTGAAAGAATATTCTTACTGCAATCGGTAGATATACTTTGTGGGAAAATTTCTCCTATATGCTTACTTTATTGCTAGGCATGACTAAACCCTGAATTGGGGAATGTATGATTCCATAGCAAAGAGAAATTACGTTTCAAGGAATACTGAAACAATCAGAAATGGGTTAACTAAAGAGCACGCTGGCATGAAAAAACTAATTTAACTGGATATATTTGATGAATTGTCGAACAGGTTTATTATGAATATTATATCAGATAGACCTGAGAGATAGCATAGCCTCCAAGTATATCACTATTGGTAGCTTCAAAAGTTGTGTATTTACATCATAATATCGGTCATGTAGATAGTAACACTGTATGCATACACGGTCAAGGTAGAGATTTATAGACGAGGTATGATAAAACGTTATGTCAACAAAATTGTTACTGATAGGAATGATTTATGTACAATGAATACATATCCAATGCAATGGATAACACTCAAAGGAAAGATTTTTTTAAATATTGTGTAGATTTTAAGTGGTTAGTAGATATACCTTAATTAGTAACTTACCAACTGGCAGAGTATATACTTTCATCCATGACTTTTATCCTGTCAGTTCTGTATTGGAATTGGTAGATTCGTTCGTAATATTTACAACAATTTCATTTACATGGAGTTGTTTTGGTTGGTAGCTCATTCGGTAGAGTTTTTGTCTATACGTGGAAATTCCAGAAGTGTGAATAAGATCAGTCTCTGCAGAAACATACTTTTCTCTAAATGCTCCTAAAGGTCTGCGACGAGCCTCCCGTATGTTGATAAATGAGGTAACCAGTCCTTCTGCAAGGAGACTCGCCTCATAATGACTAGCCCACGGGGCGATAAAACAAACAAATGCATAGAATATCATTATTTACATGTAACCGATGAATGAATGTGTGAATGATACCAAAGATTGCACCCATCAATACAAATTTTGAATAAGACACAGTAGAGCCAAGTATTAAAGCAAACTGAATCATACAGCTGTTTCGTCCTTTCAGGATTCGATCCTGGTGCTAAGGGCCTAAAGTTGGAAACCCAGGAGGCGACGAAGGAAAAACAAAATTGATCGAAAAAAGTATGAAGGCTACATGAGGCGGTGAAGTAGCCCGTAGTCAAGTGCATATGTTTATTATGAATCGTACCACTGTTCGCAATAATTCAAACATGGCATGCAGGTTACAGCGAACCTCGGGACTTAAACGTTCCCAAGCATTGTTTACCACTTCCAATCTCAAAAATTGAACTATTTCATATAGATGTCGCGTCTTTCTATGACTCGTTAGCGATGCCGAGTTACTAAATCAACGGCATTTTGTATTTCATTATGAATTACATCATGCGCACAACGATTGAAGACAATTACGATGAATCTTCGTGTATTTCCTGATGTATTAAACAACAGAACAATCCTGTTGTAATTATTATAAGGTCAACGTCATATACCTTGTCATTTCTACCACACAATACTTCGTAAACCGTATTATCATGTTATATCACAACATTTCATAAACCGTATCATCATATTATATCACAACCTTAAATGCAAACTAACGTTGATCTGTTCCGTAATTCCCAGTACCCGTTATTAGGAACTCTGACGTCCAGCGAGCTTAGCTCCTGTCGATCATGTAGTTCAAGTATATGATAACAACAAGAAAAATCCAAACTCAAAGTCAATAAAGCTAGGGGAAATATGAACAAAAGAAAGACTTACACGGAGACTCGTGAAAAAGCACAAGGAGAATAAGACCAAATGTTCAGGAAGAGTAAGCGTATTCTGATTTAAATCAGATTGATTGCGTTATGACTCAGAAAACAGTATGACGAGTTCTTAAAAATGCGATTGAAAAGCTGCTTATGTTACTGTCAGTTCTGTAGTATATACAAAAAGGTTGATACGCTGATGTAAACTAAAATATTTGTCATAAATATTTACTTATTTTTAGATACGCTATGTTCTGATATATTTAAGTCTTTAATAAATTGATTTTTGCATACAGATAAACTTCCCCTTGAATCATTATACCTTGGAGGGGAGAAAAGAATTTACTCATACTAAAGTCTACATCCAAATCAAAGAAGAAATAAACGGAGGACGAAATCATAAAGATAATCGAGTTTCCGGTTGACATCTTATATGGGTTTGGTGGCAAGATCTTCCCAACAAAGTATTGGTATACTTATGGAATCCAATGCGTCCCTCTGTTGGCTGAGTTTTATTGGTTTTTATACGAGGCTGAACTTATTGAAGAGCTTATCAAAACGTCTTGCCTTTAAATAACAATAATTTTATTGACTTCGTCCATCGTATATACCGACCAGAATTGGAAAACAAAGACACGACAGACTCTTCTACATCAGCTGCTTATCTCGATGTTTTTTTTACAACGAAACCATCATGGGCAGCTTTTTATCAAACTGTATGATAAACGTGATGATTTCAATTTTCCTATTGTGAATTTTCCATTTCTGGCTAGTAATAGCCTTGAATCTCCAACCTATGGTATTTACATGTCACAGTTGATTCGATATTCAAGGGCCTGTTCCTATTATCACGATCATCGTGTAAGAAGTCACCAACTGACGAACAAACTCGTAACACAGAGGTTCAAAAGATGCAGGGTGATGAAAATTACAGGGAAGTTTTATAGTTGCCCTATTGACCTCATTGACAGATACGTTGTGAACGTGACACTACTTACTTGGATTGACCAAGATTTACATTACGGGTGTCCTCGATGAACCATTACTCTTCCGAAACACCTGGTCTTGTCCTCTTTGCACATTTTTCAGAAGTCTCCGTGTAAATCCTTCTTTCTTTTGTACATATTTTGCCTTAGTTATCCAGAATCTGAGTTGGAATTAAGATTATACATGTATTGCCATGATAGTATTTCTTTATGCTTTTTTTACTTACATAACAAAGTAATTGGAATCACCGTTGACATAAATATAAAAAGTACAACTATTTGAATGGATTCAGCGAGTATTTTGAAGAATTAGTAATCAATTAAATTTGGCTACGTAGAATCAAGCACTTTTTTATTTACGCCACATTTGAATGTGTCTTCTTGTCACGTTTGAATGTCAAGATATCAAACGGACTGTACTTGCTTACAATGTAAAATAAACTTTGCAATGGCTCATACATATTTGACATTTTGAGATGATTGTCTATTACGCCAGCCCTAAAGAGTTGAAATTCACGATAGTGCTTTATCTATTTATTTCATTTTATCCTTTTTATCTGGCACATAAGCCTGAAATAACGTGGTAGTGCAGTACGTGTGACAATCACTGCATATGCGCTTTTGAACAAAGACCTCTCTTAACCTATTATTTGACTCAACTGTTATCACATTCCTTCTGGAGCCATGTTGAGTAGGATGTCTGCGTTTTTCAACACTTCTATACAAACATCCTTCAAATGCTTAACACTGTAGAATTTATATACTGTCTATATATGGGATCATGTTGTTCACGCAACAGAGAGACAAATTGGTAGTTTTCCTGGTATAAGCATACTTGCGTGGCGATGATTAATTTTGTCCTATTTATTTTCTCAATCTCATTGAAACCATATATTTATCTACATGTGGTCAACCCAATTTGTGATTCATATTAAGGGTTGACAAACCTTTGAAAATGCTATCACAATTGCCCGTATTTACTGAATAAAATATAACAGCGGTATAACGTCAGGCGTCAGAACAGTCCATGTTTAGGTATCTCATATTAGAGAGTGGCCATTTCAAAGGTGTGGTATGTATGAAAATATCTATGGATGAAATTATAGTCATAGCTTTATTATGGTGTATGTAGCATGCCGAAGTGGCAATATAACCACATGTTCGAGGTTCAATAGTATTTTGGTTTTGTAACTTGCATATTGTGCTGCAAGTATGAATACAATCATATTTAAATGGTAATTGTTTAAAGGCGTATGACGATTAACAATGTTTTCTCACTTTGTAACAATATTTGTTATTTTCTTGTGTGCCTGTAGTACAATCATCCAGATCGCAGGTGGCACATACTACTAGAGGACTTTTAGTCCTCGAGGTTTTACATAACCTACGTGCCACATTTATAAAGGGTGTAAATATGCAAGAACTTGGTCCTACGCCTACATCCTCATCATCCATTTATCAGTTTTTTTTTTGGTTTGTCGCTAGTAATCAAATCACGTGCCAGGGTACATTGTGTAATAAAAGGTACACTGAAGCAACCTGAATTAGTTGAAAACCAGATTTGTTTTTCGTTCTCCATCTAATCAAATAATAACATCCGTAATCATATGTACAGGTTGGGTAGGTGGGGTGGGGGTGGGGGGTATTATATAAAGTCTTTTAATGTTTCATATATAACCAATGGTTTATTAATATCCTGTACGTTCCGTCATACAGTACCTTCTTCTTTTAGTAACATTTACCCTAGTGTTTATCGGGTTCATCAGGTTCAGTGTTCGTCAGCAATAAGTAAACATGCTGTGTTCTGAAAAAGGGTCATTGGTGATAATTTGATAATAAACCTCTTACTGCATGACACTTTAAAGTTTTCCACTTGACTTAACATCCATTTCTCACAACTGTCCATAATCACACAAGTAATAGAACACTCGTCGTTCTCGTATTTGTGATGAAAGGTTAACAAACTGTGTTGAGGAAAAATACGAGTTGTTGAATCGTATCAAATTGTATAAAGCAAACAACGCTACAATGTACTATAGATAAACACTATTGCTCTTGGAAGGTAAATGTTATGTATAGTAGAGTGTAGACAAATCTTTAAACCCTAATTCATTCTTAATGCTCGAGCAAAATACTACTAGTTCATTGGAAACAGACTTCAGATAAACTAGAAGTTCGCTAGGGCCCATACAGGTAACATGAAAAATACCAGAGCCCAAGGCTACCTGTGGTTTTTATTTTTATACCTGAAAAATCCCTTATATTACAGTACTACCTGCTCGCTTCCTAATAATCAAATATATTGAATAATTATTTTAAAAAAACTAACATAAAACTTTTAAATTTCAAATATCTTAAACAAAAGGTGGAGCAATTGATGTTTATAGCTGAGAGTATATTTTTATTCCTTTACTTATGAAATAAAGATATTATCTTCGCTTATACAAAACACGACAATAGAATATCAACATGTCAACATAAACATTATCCAAACTCATAGTCAATAAAAATTTGGCCAAATTATGAAGCAAGAGAAAGATTTACACGGAGACTCTTGAAAAGGTACAAGGAGAATAAGGGCAGGTGTTCCGGAAGAGTAAGCGTCATCTGCTTCATCGACGACTTCCGCAATGTAAATCTTGGTCAAACCTAGTACGTAAGGTCACGTTCTCGAGCGAGAACAAGGTATACAACAAAGAAACCACCAGGCAAAGTCCATATCGCACAAAGAAATAAGATGATTCTTAAAGAGATCACGCTGATGATGGCCGTAAACCCTCCCTATAATTTTCATCAACCAGCATCATATGAAACCAAGTGTTAGGAGCTTGTCCGTCAGCTAACAACTTCTTGCACGGCAATCGTGATAATGGGAACAGGCCCTTGAATATCGAATCAGCTGCGACATGTAAACGTCATAGGTTTGGGATGCAGGGATATTGCTATCCAAAAATAGAACATTCAAAACAGGGAAATTGAAATCATCACGTTTATCATACAGCTTGGTGGAAAGTATTCAAATGTAGGAAAAACCGAGATAAGCGGCTGATGTAGAAGAGTTTGTTGTGTTCTTGATTTCCAATTCTGGGTGGGTATATATGAAAGACGTGGTAAATAAGTTCCTTGTTATGTAAATACAATACGTCATCAATATGTCCGAAAGTGAAATTGCAAGGTGTTAATGGCTTGTTTTGATAAGCTCTTTAAGAAATTCAGCCTCGTATGAAAACAAAAACAAGTCAGCCAATAGAAGTGAACATTTGTTTTCCATAAGTATATGACAACAGTCTGTTGGAAGAAAATACCACCAAACTCGATGAAGATGTTAACCAGAAACTCGATCATTTCTATGATTTCGTCCTCCGTATTTGAGACTTGATAGCTAAATATGCTTGCGACGTGCTGTCCAATGATTACGTATGGATCTTTCCAGTTCTTTACTTAACAATGGTAAAATATATATTTGGATATTTTGGAATATTATCTTCATGTTGGTAATGTCAATAGGATAAAAATTCTTAAAACACAACCAGTAGAAAATTAGAGTGTGACGATTCTATAATTACATAGTCACCTTCATCAGACAAATAACCAGTGTGGAGCGTACTAGCAATGACGTACATAGTGTACGAGATGGTCAGGAATCTATTAACTTTTTCAGCTGTACTGTGATCCTATGTACACTAAGGTCGAAAATAGTGTTACGAGATGGTAAACGGATTATAGACCAAAAATACACCCGATGGTAACAATGCACTATAGTCAACTCGCTTTGTTGAACACCTGGTTATAAATGTGCGAGGGTCTGTGATCTCCTCGTCCCTGTTAAGTATGTTTGAATGTTAAATTGTATACTATTTATTCAATAGATATATTTTAGATCAATACTAAAATAAATTGCTGTTTAAACTGTGTATTATTACATTTCTCATATATTCTTCATTCCGTACTCTTAATTACTTATAGCCTGACAAGAGCACATATGTTTAGCACGGGCTGTTGATTTAATGTCGATATTTATATTAAGTATGTGGTCTTTAGATACAGTGACAAACCCATATATGCGCCTGTGTCTGTACATCACATATTCTGAACTCATAAAAGGTGGAATATCAATAGAAAAATGACACATGAAAAACTACTGCCTTATAAAACATCACCAACAAAGTAAAATTCAAATATTATCGCGTTATTTAGGTGTAGTGTCCAGAGTCAGGAGTTGTCGTGGTCCCCATCTTCCCTTCCCTCCCCAACTTCTTGAAAACAAAACCCTAAATGGAGTCCTGTATTACTAGTAATAACTGTTAAAATCTGAACATCCGGTCACCTTGACCAATCCACAGAGGATTTAACTACTGTAATCAGCGTCACACGATCGCTCGATTGTTAATCCCCTCCTCAGCATTGTTACACTCGTAAGCACACACTGTTTAGTGTATATCGCTTACAACTGAACCAACCCTAAAAACTATAAGCAAATTGTGAGGGATTTCAACAAGATGAATTACAACAAAACACCAAGATTTCTAAACAAACAATAGAATGTTGGATCGTTACCTGTAATTAGAACAAATTCCAAATAATGAAATGCATGCACATGTGTTTCGTTTTAGATTTATGAAAAATGATAATATACACTGTATCTTGCAGCATTACATAAAAAACGTAAAACGTTTAATCTATAATAGCACAAATATCAAGTTTTGAATTATTAGCGACAAAGCATTTTATCTGGTGACACAAAATTTGCTTGAACTATATTACATATATCAACAAATAGAACTTTTTCTGTCAATAGAATAACGAAGGAACCTCGTCTAAACCTAGTCTTAATCTTGTGCACTACAAGTGCACTAGGTGTAAACGTAGCATCATTTGATACTTCACTTCCAGCAGGAACTCAGCTATCTACATTTGTATAAAAAGAATGATCATTGATATATATATATATATATATCATGTCTCTATATTGATGGCCTAAATATGGTACCAGTAACACAGCGACCTTCCGTAGAACTGAAGCAGATGAAGTGGTGTGAAGGAAAGACTGCTCCTGATTGGTACGGTCAGATTATCGTCGGGATTTGCTAGCGTCTGGTGATACAGTTAGAAAATCGATTGGATGAGATAGCGGCTATGCGTTCCAATGTATAGTAGTGGATGAGACTTGTTAGCATTTTTCAGTGAATCTCTGATTAGACCTGAACGGAAGGTGACAATTTTTAATCGCAGCTACTTGGACCGACAACAATGTATGCAGCATAGGGAAGCCTACTTCTCATGATATTTTATGCTTACAGACGTCGGAAATTAGATTCGGGCAAAATATTTTAAACACTAACTTCATTCTTTGCAGAAGAATTTCTCTGCAAGACAGCTGATACGCTTGTCTGTCTGTGAGAGAAGAGTTGAGCAGACGACAGATGTCCACAGTGTTGATGGATGAAGGTTCCTCTCAACAAGCCAGGCATGTCTCCGTAGGAAAGCGATGTCATGACCAAATGAGTCAACTCGGCTATGACAGCAGGTTTGTAAACTGTTTATTATTATTTTAGAGATCAGTTGGTATAATCTTGGGGAATTACTGATACACTATTGCGGCCATCTTTGTTACTCGGGAAACCTGTGGATCCTCGTGTGAGCCTCAATCGATAGCCAAGTTGCATCGCCGGTTTCCACTTATTGACCGAAACGTGTCTCCATGTTCTGGAAACGTGATTTATATGAGATTTCTTCATCATCAGTTCCTTTTTTTTTATGTAATTAACGGTAATAGGATATCCAGGTATATGTAAGATTCGTAATGGATATTAGAAAAGGTTAATAGTATTAACTCCAGTGTATTTACATCATTAATGTAAAATATCATTTGATGTTACTATACAGTCAATGCAGAATGGCAAAACTATATATATAAGTCTGTGGTGGCACGTTAGCTTACAGAGGCCAGTTTGATAGGATTACGAAAAGACAATCGATCTCACAATATCATGATATAACGAGCAAACATATGTCATATTCCAAAATCTTAATCATTTATACCAACAGACATTAGTGTCTACTATATATGATATTTCAATATCTAATATTTTCACACGGAAACTTAAATGACAATTTTGACTCGTGCCGTTTCTAAAACAATTACCGTTCAACATGACGACATCCTAAAACATAAAGTAGTGATGTTAAGTACATACGTACCGCAGGCAGTTATATAACCATATAGATAGAATGGTAACATTAGGGTGGTAATAAAACGGTATCTTAGTAAGTTCTATTTATGGTGTGTTGACATTTGTTATCGTAAAGGATTGAAAAATTGTGTACTGAAGTCTTTCGTCGTAATACATACCTGTGATTAGGATGATCATATACATCTCTGGGATGATGAAATATTATCTTATATATCTTTATACATACACACACCTACAGGGTCTTTAATGAGTTTTCATATCACATGAGATTTTATGTAACGAGTCTTGAAAGAAAGTTTTATTAAACCTTCGAGATGATGTTCATAAAATCTCAAATTAGATACTTTTTATCGTACCATATAATTCAGATGAGACACATTTTTACAAGTGAAAATTTTAAAATATGGAGGACAAAATAAAGTGGAATTAGACAGTTTGTTGTTCCATTTTTAATTCATAACATAACGTCCATATCACAATGTTTGGCATCACAATCAATTTCTGGCTGGCACAGCCAATGAAACACGCCCCAAGGTATATTACACTACTGAGATAAGCCATGCGATAATGGACACGACCTTGTTTCGTTCATCAATGTTCATCTTCCTCCTATCGTAGGCACAGAATGAAGGCTTCCATTAATTTATTTCCAGAAGCAGGACGCACAAACCTGTGGTTGTCATATATGATATTTCTTTCATATTCGTTAGTTATTTTTGAAAAAAAAAACAATAATAATAATAATAAAAATGAAAAACAGAAAAAAAACAAAAATACAAAACAAACACACTCGTTGTTTGTACCGTTTGAAAAACAGCTGACAAGATTGAAAATAGATATCACATACCACAATCACTCTTTGTGTGACCTTTTTGTATTTTATTTTAGAACACAATGTTCCATAATCCTTACAAAATAATTTCACTGTCGTGCCTCTAATCATGTAAAAAAGATTGTCACGAGTATCATAAAGACATGCACTTATTTAACACATGTTTACATACATGTACCATGCTAGCAACCCATGGTTAAAAGTGTGTCATTAACATTTCAACCACGAAATTGCCTTGAATAAATATTTAATTAAAAATGCATTTATTTTTAATTATCTTTTCTTAGGTCTTTTTTAGTAATACAGTGTAGTGATATTGTGCTATTAAGTGCTCTCACGGTATAGCACACGTTAGTTTGTCAATAGATGTTTATTAACCGTCAACGTGTTGATAATCGAGGTATTACATAATCGTATATAAAAACAGTACTGAATATCTTCAAAGGATATACAACCTGACTCTTCCATGATCGTGCCATATCAAATATACTATTTTTTTTCATGGATTCACAGTCTGGAGTAGTATTTAGGATTTTAATTCCGTGATCTTTTGTTGCCCATGTGGTCGCTGAAGAAATTATTTCGTGACAAATAAAGTGAAAAAGTGAATAATTATGCAACAAACAATCTTTCTTTAACAATGGTTTGGGGTTACCTTTTATTCATTATCCACTAAATTTATTGTTGTGTGTGGCCTTTCAAAAGTGTTACCTGCCCAATATCAGATTTTTACCCTGATATCAACCTATATATAAATTCAATGGTGAACAAGATTGTTTCGTTTTTTTCACTCGAGAAGTACAATATATTGTAATAAATGACATATTGATCTTTTACGAAAATTTGTGTGTGTGTGTGTGTGTATTTTTTTTTTTTTTTTTTCTTTTCTCATTATTATTTTCTTCTGTGAATTTTTGAAAATCATTTAAATTGCAAGCACGGATATAGCCACTCGTAAACCACTTATTCCGGAAATATGTCCGTATTACACGTCATTTCATTAGTAACGCCAGTCTTTTTCTTCTCGACAGCATGGCAGACTACCTAATAACTGGCGGTGCTGGATACGTCCCTGACGATGGTTTAACCGGGGCTGGACTCTTTGCAAATGGGGATGGAATGACGTATAAGTAAGTAAACTATCAATTGATATTTTGAATTTTCGATTTTGGCAGAGTAAATGTAATTTAGACCTACTGTTTACCAAGTTACGGAGATTCTAAAAATAAACTTGTCTCGAGATCTTTCTATCAACCCGGTGCTAGCGAAGTTAGGCTGGAATTACTTAGGACCGCGAATATTTAATTACTGATATAGATAACTTGACGTTCAATGATATTTCTGTGCAAAGTGAACCAGCGCGTCTTTCGTAAACAACGTTTCTATAGTCTGACTAAGCACGGGTGAGTGCGTACGTTACACTCCTCACCGAGAGCATAACAAAATTCTAAAAATAGACTGGGACTACAGGGTAGAAGTAACAAAAAATCACTGTATCCGGTTAGACAGTTCAATAAAATCGGTTAAGCATTCTGAATTAGCGACGTTATGCTATTAACACAACCAGTGTTTGTGTCGTTGTTGTATTTCTCTATTTATATGTGTGATTGTGTGTGTGTAGCTGTGTCAAAAATAGGTTCTCCATATATTAATTCTGTTAATTTTAGGCTTCCTCGAAAGAATCTGGAGTTAGTCTCACTGATGAATTTAGATAAGCACTTTGGTATATTTAATATGAGGAGCATTTATACAGAGGCTCCAGGGTGATTGGGGACTGTAGATAAAAGCTTGGTGTAGCTTTTTATTTCTAAATTATTATTTGAGGTATTACAGTTTGTGTGTGGGGGGAGGCCATCATTGTAACAAGGAATTGGTAATTGAGTTTACAGACTGTTCCAGATTCTAATTATTTTGAGAAAGGATGAATGAGCTTTGTAGACATGCTCTTTCCTCTTTTTATCAAATATCTTAATATTTTCTGTGATAAATCAGAGTGATTCATTAGTTTTTGTTTCTAAAGTTATATATTGCTATACAAGTAACATGTAAAAAATTTCAGTTATTGTCAGCCCTAAATATTTCACTGATTCTGCTGATTTGAGGGTATGTCCATGAAGGCTGTAACCAAAGATGTGAGTTTGTGGTTTTTTGGCTATGTGGATCAGATGATTTCACATTTATTGGAATAAAAAGACACATAACGAGGTCTGCTTCCAAATTTCAATATGTTTAAGCTCTTCTTGACATCCTGTTCATCTGTATCAGAATTTAAGACAGTTATATGCTGAGAGGATCATGATGGTCAGCATGTATGATGATGCTACTGGAGGTAATATGCTCCATAACTTTACTAAGACTTATAAGATACACTACACCACTAGATAAGGAATTGTTGAAGAGATCAGTAGTTATTGGGATTCATCATGGACATTTCATATTAGTGAAATTTTGTCATGGTCTTTGTAGCTTTATTTGGATCCTGCAGGTTGCCTATAAGCTTGCAAACACCTGTTGCGATAATGATAGTGTTTGGCATATAGTGAGCTGGTTTGTGTGATAGCTATTGAGTTCACACAGATGTGATAATTTGATCAGCACAGGGTTGGTAAAAATACAATGAAATTATAAAGAGTTTCTGCTTGGGATTTGGGGTCAGCCTAAGTGTCACCTCACATGTTTGTATTCAAAGTGTTAAAGTAAAGACAGGAATTTCCTTCATGTTACATTGACATTTTTCTTTTTATACCAAATTTTCATTCTCCTTTCTTTATATCCAATTTTTGAAATACCTCATGATACGACAGATCATTGCCAAATATCATTCACACTGAGGTTCACAAATGTGCATAGTTTCATGAAAGTAAGTTGTTGAAAAACTTTTGGTGCAAATATAGAGGAAATTCAAATCATTGATGGAAACAAACAAACACATGCAGTTCAGAATTCTACGTTAAATACTTGGTGTAAGAAAATCAATATTGATATTGGATTTCTTCAAAATGTATGTCAAATTATCATGCTTTATATATAGAAACAGTAGAGCAATATTGAATGTTTTAGCAGTGTTTTGCCAAAAAATTAATCCCAGAATTATTAGTTATTAATTGTAAAATATGCAAATTTAATCTTAATTTCAACAATTTGTGAAAAAATAATGCAGGAGACTCCCATAGAAGTAGGAAGGGATGATCATGACAAGTTAAATAATTAGTGTTCATGATCATGAATATACTATATATAATTAGTTATATGAAGCATTTTTTGCAGGACTTAAAAATGATTATGTTTCTCTCCTAAAGCTTTATCTGTCTCTGTGAAAGGGCCTGGTCATGCAAGGAGGACAGGCAATGTAGGTTTCATGGAATCTACTTACTTTAGTTAAATTATTACAGTGTGATTGTAGAATGTGTTATTTATGTACCGTCTGACACATGCACATGTGTCCTGGTGAAAGGAAAGCATTATGAAAGCTGACTCTGCAGTAATTAAATATAATTTACTACCAGACACTGATTGAGTGGGATCTGATGGATGCTTGTTTTTTCTATTTTACAGTGATTTCCTTATCTTGCCAGGTTTTATTGATTTTCTATCAGAAAATGTGGTATGTATACATATATGATACATTTTACCCTTATTCATGCAATGCTTGTGCTCAGCCCACTGCAATATAATGCTACAAATATTTATGTCAGCAAGTTAACATCTGCATGCAGTAATTCTTTAATTCAGTCATGTTCTTACAGTGATGTTTTATATTATAAAAGTGTATTGCTATGAAATTAGGTGTAGAGATTATTATTTTGAGATATTGATAACTGAGATCTGTATTGTATTCTGTATACAATGTAGTTGACAAGTTATAAATATTGCTACATATACTACCAGTAATTACTGCAAATGAAGCCCAGCAAGAAAAATATAATGGTCTTGTTTGGTGTGTCACGTTGATTGATGATTGGTCAGTCTGTTATAGATAGAGCATGATCAACAGACCATGTTTGAGATTTTCAAGAAGTGTTTTTTGTATTGACAAAACTCATGACTTTGTTATGCAACTACATAATCAGGTGAATTTAATCTAAGTTATTTGTGGTTCATATAATGCCTGACAGGTGGTCTGTGATTACCAGGATAATAAAATCATGGACCATCTTGTGCTCGTATGGTTGTGTTCTTTGGCAAGACACTTTTCACTAGTTATTCTAGAAAATTATATCATGTAGCGGGCCTTCCACATGATGTTCAGTGAATTAGCCTGTAGCCATCAATGCTACAATGAGACATCTCCATTAGTTTTCCTTCAGTGTTGAAATCAGGGTAACTGATAACATATTTTAAAGGACTTTGTGAAATCAATTGAGTGACTTTGAGTTTTCTGTAAAATCAGGTTCACATCTCCTTACAGGTGTTAATTATATAATTATAAAGTGTTGATATTGCTATTCATATACCCAATTCCATTTAATGGGTTTATTTTTTTTTACAGGACCTCACATCAGCTCTCACTCGCAAAATTACCCTTAAAGCACCTCTGGTTTCTTCTCCTATGGACACTGTCACAGAATCCAGCATGGCCATCGGAATGGCGGTAAGTTTTAACAAGCAGTCTGCCAAAATCTAATTATAAAGTTTAGTTGTTGAAGTATTTCTTTTGCAATTGTATTGAAATGAAGAAGTCTTACCACTAGTAACATAATTCGTATTTGATATTGTACTTTTTCAGAAAAGTAGAAGTATTGACCCATTGGCAAGATCATTTTTCTGTGAGCATTGTATTTGTATGGTTCAGACCCGTTCTGGCAGATTGATGCCCCATTCTTGATAGAAATAGCATGAAAAGCTTTGCCTGGATAACTCCTCCTACACCCTCGGCCAAATTTCTTTGAAACTTAATACAAATTATCCAGGTTACCTACCCTAATGAATCATTTTTTTCATTCGGACACCCCCCCCCCCCCCCCCCCCCCCCCCCCACACACTTTTTTTTTTTTTTTTACAGAATTTTGCCCCGTCATTGAAATCAGCTGAATTAATTGTTAGTTTTTTTTCTACAGACAAATCCTAGATTTTAAGATCAATTCTATTGAAAGTTTATAGTTCTATACCATTACAAGTATCCTTTTAAGTAATTGCTCTTAGAAATTGTTTTTATTTTGACATTTGTCGTGGAATAAAGCTCCTTTTTGGAAAAAATGGCTTTAACCATATTTCTAGATAACTTCTACAGCCACGACAACTGATATTAGCGATACTTTACACATTATGAATTTTGTGGTTTCTGATATCAAGATATTAAATTGGTCTTAAAATTCATATGTATTTTTTGCATTTTTTTTTGTTATACTTATCTCATTTGCTATTGTATCTAAAATTTAACAACTGTTTTAATTGGCTTAAATAGAATCATTGATACAGATAGATCTATAAATTTGGAGGATGAGATTTTGAGAAATTCTGAATGCATTTCTTCAAATTTTTGTATAAACTTACTTAAGTGCATATTTTGAAGTTATTGATGGATAAATAATTACTCCATTGGCTATTTAAGTTGTTGTTTGCCAATGTTATATTAAGAGTGATAAAGTCTTAATACTTTTACAGCTATGTGGTGGTGTAGGTGTTATCCATCACAATTGTGCTGCAGAATTCCAAGCCAATGAAGTTAGAAAAGTTAAGGTGAGTAACCCTGGAAAAACTGGTGACTCTAGAGGTCTAACACCAGCAATTTTAAAAACATCTAGATTTACATTTACACATTTTTAGGTGAGACTAATATTCAATATTTCAGATTTTAGATTTCATTTGAGAACTGTCATACTGAACAACACACATCATGGAAAATTCAAATTTTCTAATGAAGTTTATGAAGGACACATGTTACCCAGAAATTTTACACATTTTCAGGTGAATTAAAGTGGAAATGTGTGGGGATTTCATGTAACGTTTAACAATAGATGCAACTTCAGTTATTCAAAAATTGTTCCTGCAGACTTTTTGTTTCTTTCACATTCTCAGACACATTTATAATTTTAGATTTATAGTAATATTCGCATTAAAGGAACAAATGAGCATGGAACGGAAAAATGAATGAATGATATTATACCAAGTGCTGTTAAAATTGTGAAAAAAGGTTAAGTTCTTACAAGATATCATTTTCAAAATCCATGGTTTCCTCTTTCTTGTCATTGTAATCTGAGGACTATCACTATATCTGTTTAATATCGCACATGAAAATCTCAGCAATGACATGGCACATACTTTGCGTCACCTTTGCTTAGGAGATTATCATTGAGTTTTGTGTAATTTAAGATGAAAGTCAGTCTACAGTACAGCTGCATGTTTGGTTGATTTACTTTTCTAGCTAATCATGGCTTAACTTTGTAATTACCATATATGTACGATCAGTCCTTGATTATACTATCGTGAAGGTGATCAGTCTACACAGATTTTGCTTTTGTCCTCATAAGATTAAAGTAAGTAGATACAGATATGTGATATATCTACAGTGTCGTAAATACCTCCAGTATTTTAGACATGGTAAAAGCCAGGAGAATTTGATAAACGAAAGTTATGTATGGAAGAGTAATGAAGTAATGAATTATGAATGATTTTACAACACACTTGAGAATATGTTAAATGTATTATTTATAATAATAATGATAGATACATATAAGATAACAGATCAATATCAGGAATATTTAAGCGTCACAAAAAATCAGATAAATTCATTATCTTGAAAATCAAATGAAATATTGATGATACTTCCAGTAACACAATTTTGGTTGTGTGTCATAATGATTGCTGAAATGTGATATAAGCACACTTTGCAAGCCATGCAATATTTGGCTATGCTGATTTGAAATTGATAAACTGCTCTTTATAGATAGTTATATGGCCCACTAATACAAAGGCCACAAGTACTGCATGCTGCTGTTTACAATTGTTACATGTAGCAATCGATCTCATGTGCATAATATTTACATTGTGTACTTTTCCCTTAAAGTTCAATTTGATCACAAATCAATTAAATAATACATTCAACATTTGGAATGACAAACAGACCAAAGTTTTCAACATTGATGCAGATAAATTTATACATTACACATGCAGGTGCATCACATTTTGTATTGCAGATGTACAGAATTTTTTCCAAGAGATGTTAAAGAACTTGTTTTCTAGACCGAAAGTCTAGAATAAAGTCTATGATAAGCTTGATGTTTTTGATTCATGCCATTCAGGGCATTTGATTATGGAGAAATCCATCTTTCCGCTTTTAATCAGCATTTAATGATCGAGGCTAATTCATACCGACAGTGTATCATGCAGTAGTGGTTGAGCCGTTACTTACACTGGTCATGATCAGTAGGTTTGACTTTGGGTTAATTAGTACACTGAGGGTGTTAATGTAAATTCTTGTGATGTGAGCTTGCTGGATGGCAAGGATTTCAATTACCTGACGTTCAATTATGTATTGAGATAAGTTATCATGCTTTCACAAAGTGCGGTTGACATGTTTATGATCCATTCAGGCAATTACAACTTCAGCGTATGTCATTAAATTGTCTTAGGAGGCAAACATAGTCAATACTCGTTGTTAGTGATTGATCAAGGTTTTCAAAAGATGTCAAATACTGCAGCGTTTGGGTATTCTAAGGATTGCAGTTTTACATGACTTAATGGACACAAGGCTTCTTCTTAGTAGGCACCGTATCTTGTTAGTCATCTTGCGCTATATACAGAACCCTGCAGGAGACAATAAATTTTAAGGTGTCTGATCAGTAATTCTGTTACTCTATGTATTTTGTATGTCCAACTTGTTTTTAAAATTTTTTTACTGTGTCCTTTATTTGGGGGAATATATAGTGGCCGCTTTGTCCATCTGTCCATCTTTCCATTCATCCTTTGCCTTTTGTTAATTCGTTTTTGTCCAAGGCCTAACTTTACTTTCATTAAAGCTAGGATAATGAAACTTGGTGTATATATTAGTCATAGTAATAGAATGTGCATTGCATTAAATTCAGTGCTTGTAACCCCTTAATTTCAGAATTATTACCCTTAAAATTATAGTTTAATATCCAATTAAGTTTTCATGAAGCATTCATCAGTTTCAATGATTCTATTCTTTCGTTATTGTGCTATTAAACCTTCCTTTTTATGAAATAATGAACATTGTTGTATTATGTGTTCTATTCTTAATGCTAAGTACACCAGTACACCATTTTGTTCATCTGTCTGTATAATGTTAACATTTTATGTCATAGTTCTAATATTGATTTATTATACAACCTTCAATATGGTGGAATGATAACATGATAATGTCTGATTGATTTCTTCAACCTATAGCTCCCATAGTGTAACATTGCTCGTCATTGTGATGTATATATCTGTACATATGGCTGAGCTTCACCAGACGTAATCTGTGACATTTAGTTGACTGCTGTGGTCTAGATATATCATAGTAAACAGATGTGGGTATAAAGGCTGTCAAAAGTGAAGCCAGTATCATATCTCAATATGAGGCTAATAATGCTTTATACACATACTACATAACACTTGTACCTTAACAGATGTCCTTTCATGGTGCAGGTCTTCAATCAGTCTCTTTATGTGTACAAGTCATATATGCTTTTTGATTTATAAAAGGAATTTTCAGCAGCTGTTAAAAAAAATGTATTTGTTTTGGTGTTCATATCAGTTTTGTAGAAATCTGTACAGACTCTCTGTAACAATACAGTAATGAACATTTCAGATTAAGGAAGATCTCTGTAGTATGAGAATAAATATGATAGGAAATTAAGATTTTTCAGGTAATGTGATTATCATCCACCTTTCCATATAGACCTACTCTAGTTGCTTCTCAGTCATTGCCCTTTTTCCACCTTCCGTGATAATAATTATCAACTCATTATCACCTGCCACATTTGGTGAGCTGACTTAACTAATCATGTATATATATATTGAATCAGCATGGAATACAGATACATACAATGTAGAGAACAGTTTGAGATATTGATTATTTCATGGACAGGACTGCAAGCTATTTGCCTGTTAATTAATTAGCATATTGCTTTATGCTACTGTAAAGGCTGCAGTCAACCAATTGCAAATTATCCAAAATGTATCAGGCTTGTCCATACCATAAATACATTGTATACTGTGTGGACTATCTACATACTTGCCAACCATCCCTATTTAAGAGGGAGACTCCTAATTTTAGACTCTCAATAATGCCATTTTCAACAAGTGAATTTGCTGATCTTTTCCTATACACTAAGACCTAATGATTTCATTTGAATTAACAACCCAAAAGATGTCATTTACAAGTGTAAGCTGGAGGGTAGATACAGACATTTTATATATGCTTTTAATATCTGTCAAATCTCCCCGATGAAAATTTTTAAAAGTTGGTGAGTATGTATTGATCGACATCATAATCTTCTATTGTAAGTACTTGACCTTTGATATTACTCCTAACTATGTATGTACACCTTATCATGTTAGCTGAGCATTCATGGTATCCTACTGTAGGCCAAAACATGTTGGCAACCAGTTGTATACTTTTCAGATGTAAACCTGGCTTTAGGAGTTGTTTCTCTTCCCTCCGTTTTAGAAGGGCTTACATTCTACTAGGTATTTTCGGGAAACCTAGCTGACTAGGGAGTTTCTTCATCTGCATCTAAGACAGAAACCTTTGTTACAATAAAAATTGAGTACTGGCTCTCTGCATTTCTGTAATGTATGGTATCTTATATGTATAGTATATAAGTTATATATATATATATATATATATAATTCTATTTGGTAAAACCTATCAGGTTTTGTTCACATATAAATAATGCATGATTATTTCCTATCTTGTTTGTGATTTAAGTGTTGTTGATTTGCACAGAAATATGAGCAGGGCTTTATCCTGGATCCAGTGGTCATGTCACCCAGACAAACTGTGAAGGATGTTAATGAAGCCAAGAAGAATTACGGCTTTTCAGGTATCCCTATTACAGAAAATGGGCACATGGGAGAGAAACTTGTCGGCCTTGTCACCCAGCGGGACATTGATTTCTTAACCACAGAGGAGTTTAACACACCCCTGGGAGAGGTATTGATTCTATATATATTAATTCATATATTATTGTTGATATTTGACAAACACTCTTATAAACAATTTGAAATTCCAACCATTTTCTGATTTTAGCCAACAATTATCAGATGGTAGACTGTTCCAATGCCTGTTGTCTTGTGTTTGCCACCCGTCCGTTGTTAGTTCTTGTTATTGCTAAATTTGAGTAGAACATATATAGGATGGATTTTTCACAGATTCCCTATGAACGTTCCCCATGTCACTAGTTGTGCTCTTCTAGACAAAAAACAAGATGACCGACAGATGTCTGTCTTAAATTTTTACATTTAAAGCATGTTACTACTAGTTCTTGAGAAGTAGTGGATGAATGTTTCTCAGATTTCATATGTAGGTTCATCTTGATTCCTTATTGTGCCTTTTAAATTTTGGAATTAATGTTTATCATCACTATTTTTCAGAATTAATGGATTAATGGTTTTTAGTTGTGTTATTCCTATTTTGTGACTGAAAAACACATTGACTGATAGGTGTTCATCACGATGATGAAAATATTTCATCAGTTCTTCTTAAGAAGTACTGGATGAATCTTCCTCAGATTTCATATGTAGATTCCCTAGTTGTGTCCATGTGATTTAGGGACTGGTCACAAAATCCGTGCTGACAGGCGCTCATTTTAAAACATCAGTATTGCTGGTTCTTAAAAGGAATTCTCAAATTTCATATAATCAGAGCAAAGCAAACTAAAAAGAAAATATCCAACTTTTAGAGATATGACCTAAGAATTTGCCATAAGATCCCTCTGAAATTTTTTTTTTTTAGTTTTGTTACTGCTATGGGCAATTTGTTTTACCCATGTGTTGTTGTGACCCGTTTCTAATCATTTACATATCCTGAGAATATCTCAACAGATTTGGTTCATATTTGTTTTTATATCACCATTACTTAATGAAACTTATATTTCTTAAATTTCATTGATATAATTATTAACAGATTGGTCGATTTTATGTGTAATTTTATGTTAAGCTGTATCGCTTTATGACTTGTCTGACATGCATGCACATGCCTTCAGACCCTGTTCTGAGCTTGATTTCAACACTTAACACATTAACTTATTTATTTACAGAAGCTGTGACATTTGTTACAAATGACTGACTGCTTTATAACAAACATGTGACGATCAATGGAATTTGCAGTGATTGTGCAATTTTAGGCCTTAATCATCAATGAATTGTAATGGAATATAATGCAGAGATTTGTTTGTTTTGTTTCAGAAATGTTTGGCACAGTTGAGAGTGTCATTACTTTTTCCCCCTTTTAGTGGTCTGCAAAATGCACCGATTATAATTGATATCATGAACATGGCTTATACAGCTGGTATTTCATCTTTTTCTCCTTTGCATCAAATCTGAATGGTCAGGAGTCATCCTTTTCTTTGCACATAACAAACACATTATTTACGGATGTATCAGAGTGTAAATATAGCCACTTGTTTAGTAATATAATTATATTGTGTTGTGTTTTAGGTGATGACAAAATTTGAGTCTCTAGTTGTGGCACATAGTGGAGTTACACTGAAGGAGGCAAACCAGATACTGCAAAAAAGTAAAAAAGGTTAGTTGATTGGAATGGATTTTACCAGTAGAGTCAGTTGATCTTCTATACCTGGCCATTATTGATTCTGCCTGTGATATAATTCTTGGCCAACAATAGCGAAAACTTTATATGATAAGTGGTTCTTTATACTGTTATATACAACATACTGTGATGTTTCACGTTGCAAAATGTCAGTCAGAGATGTACAATAATTATGTAACTAATAGTTTTGAAGTGTTTTTGGTTCTTTTATTGCAGGAAAACTTCCCATCATAAATGACAGTGGAGAATTGGTAGCTTTAATTGCAAGAACAGATACAAAAAAGAATCGAGACTTTCCTTTGGCATCTAAAGATGAACAGTATGTTGCTTTAAGATAGCAGAGATAATTATCCAGTTAAACCTGATAATCATGCATATCTACTGGTTTTTTCCATCTCTTTAATAGCCAATTCATATTTCTTTCTCTGGAGAAAATGATATATTCTTTCTTGTTATGGCTGATTTTTTTTCAGAGAAAATGTTCTTTTAAATGAGGTTTACCTGATATACTATAGACAAGGCTCAAGTGAAACAATGTTAAAGGGAAATGTAATTGTCCAAAACCACACTGAAGTTATAAAAAAAACCAACAGTTTTTTACTAAAACTCAAGAGGGAATTCATGAGGAAATCTCCTTATAAGGAACGATATTCATGTGCTGATTTATGTATATAATATGTTATCTAATTTCACTGAAATTATAATTTTCCTTCAAATTAATATGGAAACAAATCACATCATTACCATTGTCTTAATATATTTTTTAACAATACTAAAGGCAAATAGAAACTGTTAAGTACTTTTTTCAAATTATTTGTCATTTTTCAGTAAACAGCTGCTTGTTGGTGCAGCCATCAGTACCCATGATTCAGACAAGGACAGGCTGGAGATGTTAGTCTCTGCCGGTGTAGACTTTGTAGTGTTGGTAAGTTAATCAAATTTAGAATGCAAGGAAGGGAGATAATTGAATTTTATGTAATGCATGTGTGTACATGAAATAGCTAAGAATTCCTGCAGGGCTTCATACCTTTTATTAGGGCCTCAAAGCAGAGATAATTGGTAGAGTAAATGTGGAAACATGCATGTGAATGCTGGATATATCTGTCATTATTACTCATTGTTAAGGTTGGAAAGCGAAGGCAACATCAGGATCTATAAAACTTGCTCTTTATGTTCCAGGATTCTTCCCAAGGCAACTCCATTTACCAGATCAACATGATAAAACACATCAAGAAAAAATATCCAAATCTCCAAGTTATTGGAGGCAATGGTAAGTTCGGCCATGTTGTTGACAAGCAAGTGCTCATGTTTATTGTCTCATTTTTGTTAACATTCAGGTTTCGTGTATCTTAAACCACATGAAAATAGGATACATCCTCTAGTGAATTTGACATAAGTTCACGCTAAATGAAACACTGTTTACGTTGTATGATACTAATGTGCTTATTATTCTCCTTCCGTTGAGACCAGAGGGGTCCTTTAGTGTTTGTTGTCATCCCTCTCTCTGTCTGGATCAGATGGTTTCGAAATGATAACTTCAGTAAGGGATGACCGATTAGGTTGAAACTTTATACAATGTTATTTTAGTAGGAGACCTTGTTTGGGATTGTGTTTGGTGTCAAAATGTCAACCACAAAGGTCACTGTTGCTAAAAATAGTTTGTTTTTGGTTTCCAGAAGATAATTAAAGTTTGGGATAATTGATTAGGTTGAAACTTGATACAATGATAGCTTAGTATGAGACCTAGAGAAGGAGAGTGTTTGGGGTCAAGAGACCAACTGTTAGGGATGATTAATCAGATTGAAACTTGATAAAGTATAAGTTGATTAAGAGACCTAGTGTAAGATTGTATTTGTGGTCAAAAAGTCAACTACAAAGGTCACTGTTGATATAAAATAGATTTTTGGTTTCCACATGATAACCTGCTTCAAAAATGTTAATAATAGCATGGCAGGGAATGTGTGTTGCTTGCAACGCTAACTGTAAGCTTGTTGAATTGAATTTTACATAATTTTGATAGAATTTGATATAAAGTGTTGGTGAAGATATATAGCTAAATGGTTTTGATAATAAGTTTTTGTAAAGAGTTTTGTAATAGCAGTGAATATATTAGCTTGCAATTAGCAACCAGTAGTAATAATAAAATCATCTGAATTTGATCTGAATGGAGTTTCCTATGTCTCGGTATAAAGAACAATTCTGGTATATATAATTGAGATAGAAGAATTAAATATCCAGGAGTTACTACGTATATTATTTGTGTGTATTCAAACCTGTGGTACAGATATGTGTATATATACTGTGAAATATTAAAAATAAATTGTTTGTTTTGTTACAGTGGTGACAGCAGCCCAGGCAAAGAATCTAATTGATGCTGGTGTTGATGGTCTGAGGGTGGGCATGGGAAGTGGGTCTATCTGCATCACACAAGAAGGTATGACATTATAAAACATTTCTTCAGGGTGATGTTTGTGAAGATTTTGTATGTGACACCATTTAGAAACATGTGTGTGGTGTTTATGTTGATATATATAATCTGTCACTTTATCAGACAAGTTACCAGTGAAACATGTACTTGTAGATGTAATGCATATAGATTACAATCAAACTGACAGGTTGTCAAATTACTTTATAAATCGTAGTGAGACTAAAGATGTCAGCTGTATTTCACGCATACATATCAGGTTATCAAGGTTGTTTTGATGATTGTATGTGATTTCACACTGATGAGAATACCAGTAGAGAGATATGCTTTGTTTATTTACTGTTTACTTTTTTTTTTGTGAGTTAACTAGTTGAATTTAATTTCTTTTGCAATATTATACATTTCATTATATTATGTGCTTGTAAGATTTAGACTGGTTTTAAGTCGTTTTAAATGTAAGAGAGAAATCAGAAATGAATTAATATACAATAAAGAAGAAATTGTTTTCTTGATTTTGTCATAAACCCAGTATGTTACTGCAATGATGATGCAAGTATGGAAGGTAAACATTTTGTGGATTGAACTTGTCATTTTCTGTAAAAGATGAATAGAAAGTTTACAAAGACCTGAAAACATTTTCTTCCCACAGTCATGGCAGTAGGGCGCCCCCAGGGTACCGCTGTATATAAGGTGGCAGAGTATGCTCGCAGATTTGGTGTTCCTGTTATAGCTGATGGTGGAATATCAGCTGTGGGTCACATCATCAAGGCACTGTCTCTTGGAGCTTCCACAGGTAAACCAAATAGGTGTAAAACAGCTCAATGCTATAGATTAACATGTACTGACATCAGTTTAACAGCCAGTCAAATTCCAGGTACAACAAGAAGGTGTAAAACAGCTCAATGCTATAGATTAACATGTACTGACATCAGTTTAACAGCCAGTCAAATTCCAGGTACAACAAGCCAACATCTACAAAACATTCTTTCAGTGGAAACATTTCACATACAGATATCAAATCACAGACCATGCTATTTGTTTTAGGTTAAATGACCCTTAATTAGCTGACTAAGTGTAACATTGTTTAGAGCATATATCAAGTATAATATATCACCTGCAATTGCAGAAATTTGTGTGCATTTAGGTAATTAATATATGGGATGACAAGATATACCATACTGAAATTTAGTCTCACACTGAACATGGTAGAGACTTATACAATACACAATATGATTATTTCATTTGTCTTTTTTAGTAATGATGGGCTCCATGCTGGCTGGCACCAGTGAAGCACCAGGTGAATACTTCTTTGCTGATGGTGTCAGACTGAAGAAATACAGGGGTATGGGTTCTCTTGATGCCATGGAGAAACACAAAAGTAGTCAGAGTCGATACTTCAGGTACACAAATCATTTCTTCATATATTTAACAGAAAGATCATTTTGAGCTCAGACTATTAATTACGTCAACCTGTTTCTTGTCAAAGTTGATTCATTTATTTTCTGTGCTATATTCTGAACAGTTTCAACCAGTTATGCTACTAAAGGTAGATAATCCTGATGAAATTATATATTTCCAATTGTTGAAATGATTTCCTTGTCTGATCAAATTTTGGGTGAATTAATCTGTTAATTATAAAAATAATATTGTCTTTAATTGAATTTCAACATGAATGGTGTTGTACAAAATTTCATAAAATACAATCGATTAATTAAATCAGCTTCAGTTTATGAATCTTGACCAGAATTGTAAGTCAAATCTTCAATGATAAGATTCTGTGCAGAAAATAAAGAGAATTACAATTATTTGCATTAAGATAGTTTGTATACACCTGTCAAAATATAAAGAATAGTTGTATCGTACTTGTTGTTGCTTAATTGAAGAAGGAACAAATTTGAATACTGAGTTTTTTTAAATCTTGGATTGTTGAACATGAGATATTCTGATGTTTTTACTTGAGAAGAAAAGTTAATAGAAAGTTGGTTTTTAAAAAAGTTACTGAAAATTGAGAAAACTTTCATTTAACTGAAATAAGCTATGTAGATTAAACTTTGACTTAAATTTCAACTTTTCAAAATCATGTTCTACCAACTCATGACAAAATTCAAATTTTTGTATTTTTTTTTTTGGATGCTGGATAATGGATTCCTGGAACAGTTTATTCCTGTGCGTTTTATTTTTTCATTCCTTCATTGTTGTCTTTGTGGAACACTCTCTTCAGCCATTTAATGAAATGCATGAGATATCTGTTGTTTCTTTTCTGATTTGAAAATCAGGTTGGATAAATTTCAAGTAAAAACATCAATCAATCCCAAGATACGGTGTCCTTTGTTGGTTCAAATACATTTGCTTTCTTTTTCTTTTTTTTAAAACTTTTTTTTAACTCTATGGTGTTTGTGATCTTGCTAAATGTATTCTAAAATTTTTTTGTTTACATGTAAGATACAGTTTCTTCTTTTTTCCCTTTATTTCTGTGGAGGAATACTACCTAGATGTACAGTTACTGCATGGACAATTATCTCTTTCTGTTGCATGTGATTGTGGTAAATTAGCAACCTCATTAAAGTGATTGAAAAGATGATATTCAGTTTTAATGTTTTAATTACTTTCATGTTTTGGGGGGGAAAATTGAAAGTTGTGTCAGAAAATTTCATCATCAGTAATTAGGGTTACATGATTGCTAATAGATGAAATAATCTTTATTCTAACAAATGTATGTGTGTTGAAAACCTGTGACCAGCAACAGATGGCTTGATTTTTTATATATGCTTAACTTCCTTACAGTGAAAGTGACAAGTTGAAGGTAGCCCAGGGCGTTTCTGGTTCTATAGTCGACAAGGGATCCATCCACAAATTTGTACCCTATCTTATCGCAGGGATCCAGCATGCCTGTCAAGATATTGGAGCACGGAGTCTGTCCAATCTAAGGTAAGCTATGTCACATGTCAGGTTCCAGTTGGCATGATGCTACCTATATTTGTGTCTGGTTCAGGGATTCTCTCTTATTCTGTCATGTCAGCTCTAGCTTTAGACAGGAAATCATAAATTGATGACTGTAGACTCTCTTTACTGTAACAGAAGTTTATATTTATGCATACCAAACTGTATAACAGGGGTTTTTCAGCTAGTGTCAAAGTGTTACTTTTTTCACCTTAAGCTTGCATGGCCATATTGAATTGGCATATTATAATTGAGAGTTATATTAATTTTAGTACTTTTTTTAGTTCTTACACTTCAATCGTTAAAATATGTCATGGCATTGATCAGTTATTCTGGATTTGACCTCAAACATGTTCTACAGTAAACCCCAGTGACTTGGCTTTTTATTTTATACAAAAACTTACATCTAAGAGAAATTAAAAAAACATTTATGAAAGAATATGTCAATTCATCGACCTGTAATTACATAATGGCTTTTAAATGTTACTACAAACTTCAAGGCGGTTTGGGAGTGGGGGGAGGCTAATGGTAGTCAGTTGCACTCATGATTCCATAAATGATGTGATTTGATGTAAAAAAAATATCCAGAAATCTTATAAGCATGAAGCTTTTTTGTTGTATAATTTTTCCCCTTAAAAATATATTAGGTCACCTGTGATACCCACTAAATCACATGTGTTGGAATTTATTGCTACTAACTGAAGTGTTTGGTCATTTTAATTTATACTGATTTATGAAGTTAAGGGAGAGCTTGTGTCTCAAAGTTTATATAGCACTGGTAGATAGTCTGTCAATCCATGTCACAACTAGTCCCATTTTTAATAAAAAAGATATTCTCAAACTTTCCATTATAGCCTGACTTCTCCTAACCAAATAACGCCACACAAAATAAACTAGGGTCCTGAGAAAATTGTCCACCCTGTTCTTTCTTGTGCCAGTTCCTGGTTTGTTATGAACAGAACTGAATTTCAATGTCTTCACTGATTTTGACGACATGTCACAAATTTATTCTTCATCATAAAGTCACCTTTCATTATCATGAAATATCGTGATTCAAATTGTTACTAGTGTAAGAGGATGAAAATAAGCAATGTAAATTTTGGAGTTAAGTACTCTTACTTCAAAGACTAAAGCAGATTTTGTATTGCTTGCTTTTTGTATACAGATGATATTTCATAGATCCCATTAGTGCAAAATTTAGAACAAGTTGTATTGAAAACCTTACCCTGTTTTTGGTACCTCGATAGCTGTGAACATTAAATTCACTGACTGTATGTCCTGATGATTAATTTCAAACTTGAGGTTTAAACTGGTATCACTCTCCCCTAGAACATGGGTCCAGTATGCACTGCTGGTGGGGGATGATGTCTGTTGAATAAATTGTTTCCACACCAATGACATTCTGGTCTATCCCCGTGGGTTTTCATCTAGGATCCCAAATAACGTTTTCCCAGAGCAGTATTGTAGTAACAGCTCTCAATAGCTGATATTGATTGCTGAATTTTTTAACAATATAAAAAAAGTTCAACAATGCATGTAGCTTTAATATTACTGTGTGACATAGTATTTACATTTGTACTGTATGTGACACCCCATGATGTTTGCCTAGCTTTTTGAGGAAAATTTCTGTGGTAGTAAGTTGTTAAAGTGTGTAGAAACAGTTGTGTCAGCTAAACCTATATCGTTTAGGGAAATGGCCATACATGTACTGAAACCCTACACGCCCCCTGGCAGCGTAACATACATCCCCCAAACAGGGACCAACTCTGCTCGGATGACAGATGTTATGGAGGTAAATCCTATAGCGTAACATTGTATACAAACACCTGCTCTGTAAAATACTTTCACTTAAGTGTTCTCACAGCAATTCAGAACTATTTATTGACTGTATGTAGAAAACCTTCATGCAGTATTAATTGTAGACATCTTAACAACAGTATTGATAAAAATTAGCAATGACTGGCATAAAATGTCGGTAGCTTTAGTGCGACAATTGACATTTGATTGAAATGCTTCAAGTTTCAGTATGCTATCAACATGTTATCTACTGAGCTTTACAGTGGTTTGGTTTTGTTGGGAAACAGATAGCTTTGTTGCTGATTTTATTTAAATGTTTACTAACAAAACGTTGAATTTAACATTGTGTAAATATTGTGTATTAAAATTGGTTAAAAATTTATCTGTGTGTAGTGTGCCTGAACACAACACGATTATGATATAATTGTATAGATTTTTCATCACACTGGCTATAATTATGTGTTACCTCAGGCTAAGATATTCATCACACTGACTGTAACTATCAGTTACCTCAGGCTTAGATATTCATCACACTGACTGTAACTATCAGTTACCTCAGGCTTAGATATTCATCACACTGACTGTAACTATCAGTTACCTCAGGCTTAGATATTCATCACACTGACTGTAACTATCAGTTACCTCAGGCATAGATATTCATCACACTGACTGTAACTATCAGTTACCACAGGCTTAGATATCCATCACACTAACTGTAGCTATCAGTTACTCCAGGCCTAGATATTCACCATACTGACTGTAATTGTGTATTACCTAATGCCTAGATATTCATCACACTGGCTGTAATTATGTGTTATCTCAGGCCTGGGTATTCACCATACTGTCTGTAATTGTGTGGTACTCCAGACCTAGATATTCATCACACTGGCTGTAATTGTGTGGTACTCTAGGCCTAGATATTCATCACACTTGCTGTAATTGTGTAGTACTCCAGGCCTAGATATTCATCACACTGGCTGTAATTGTATGTTACTCTCATGAAGACTCTCATAAACCTGGCCTTGACCTTTAATTATTCCAACTGTGAGAATACATTGATAAGATTGCATTATACATGATTGGCATATTTAGAAATGGTTGTTTCTTCCTTCCCTTTCCAACAAAACAAGTTCACCAAAGTTCCTATACCTGGTTCTTCTATAAAAAGAACCATTGCTTAATCAGAAAAAATGTGCCTTATCTTGTTCATCGCCCATTTTCAGTGACCTACAGTATAATCTATAATGTGTACTGGTCGGAATCACCTATTGATATTCTTTTGTCTGTTGGTGTGCGCCATCAGCCATGCATAAACTTTCCATTCAAATGACTTCTCAATAACCAAAAGGCTCAGGATGCTGATATTTGGCCTTTAACATGATGGGATGAAGGGCTACCAAGTTTGTTCATATGAATGACCTTGACCTACTTTCAGGGTCACATGGGTCAAATATGTTGTAAATGTGTAAGCAACTTCTTCTCAATAACCTAAAGGCCAAGGGTCTTGACATTGTAGTATATTTTTTGAACAAGCAATATCTCCAAAGTAATGGTATTTGTGTAGTACATGTATAAAAAATATGATTTCAATTTTGCATAAGCTTCTTCTTCTCACAACCAAAAGGCCAAGGTTCTTGATATGATGCATGTAGTATGCTTTTTCACCAAACAATATGTTCAAAGTAATGGCATGTAATGGCCTCTTTACCAATTGCAATAATCAAATGTCATTGATTTTTACAGGTAGATCGCCTGAGACAAAGTCTCATGGTGACCTATTGCAATCACCTGCGGCATTGTACATCTGTAAACATTTTAACATTTTTCAACTTCTTCTTAAAAATCCCTGGACCAATTTCAAAGAAATTTTGCAGAAACCTGGCCTAAGATGGACAGAAATAGTGAATTAAACAGTCCCCCACTGCACAGGGGCCTGAGGGGCAAAGCCAAAAGGGGTGAAATTGATTCAGATTTCAAAACTCTTTTCCTCAACTCCCAGATGTGGTAGAATCAAATGCTCTTCATGGATGGAAGTATCTTGAGGTGCTTAACCAAAATTGTGAATTTCATGGCCCCAAGGTCCCACTTTTTCCTCATAGGATGGGGGTAAATTTTACTAAAAAACAGAGTTTTGAGCAAAATTTGTTCGATATCTTTCGGAAATATTTCAAAATTGATTAGAATTATGAGCTTATGATGACAACTATATGGTATGCCCATATTGATCGTGGGTGACCCACAGGAGCTGATGGGTAAGACCAAAAGGGGTCAAATTGACTTGGATTTCAAACTCTTCTCCTCAACACCCAGATACGGTAGAATCAAATACTCTTTACGGATGGAAGTGTCTTAAGGTGATTTACTTATCAAAATGGTTCTCACATTTCTTCCTGGGGAGGAGGTTAACTTTACTTGTCAAAGATGTTCTGCTGTTCACGGATGGAAGATTTTATATAGGAAAATTAGATTTTTTGCATGTAACTTCTTTTAACTCATACTTGGTAAGAAGCCTTAGCATATTATTAAAGAAAACTTGAGTTTTTGAGCATAAAGTTGTTTATTACCGAATGCGAATAACTTTATGAGAATCATTAGTATAGCATGATAGTTTTGATGGTATGCAGGTATTGACACAGGCTTACTACCATCAGTGTCACAATTTCTCTTTCATGACACTTGAAAGCTACTTACCCTTTAACCTTTATTTCAATATTGCTTATCTTAGGTGACTGTCAAGGCCGCTGGGCCTCTTGTTTTAGTATGACATCTAGCTTAGCATATGTTTTCCCATATTTCAACACAATATTCATGGAGAAATGATTTGTCTTTCAATACTGCATACAAGGATTTTATTTTCTTTATATTATTAAGTGACAACATATTTTTGTGATTAGATAAAGTTTCCGAAAGAATGGTCATCTTGTCAAACCATTAAACCAGTGTGAGGCATCATTGTAAAGTGTGCTAACACTGACATACATAGTGTACAAGATGGTAAGGAATCAACCAATGTTTTCATTTGTACTATAACCTTATGTTCACTAAGGTGGAAGATAGTGTGACGAGATGGTAAACAGATAAAAGCAAAAAAGTACAATGTTATGAAATCAATAGGGTTATAGTCAACTGTCAGGTGACCAAGTAGTCATGGAAACATCACTTTCAAATTTTCTGCTGGTTGCGTTATAAGAACTTCTGTTCAATTGACATTATCAACCCAAAGACAATGTTCCCAAAAAAGAAAGGCAATTAGTCACTTAGACTCGCCTTTATATTTGTCATCTACATTAAATGTTACATCCTAGCCAATTTGAAATGTTCTGAAGTCTTAGGACATTAATGTAAAGTGCCAGACGTAGTGCTCTAGCTGTATACAAAGGTAATCTCATAGTCTCTGTATGTGAGGAAGTCGACCAATACCAAAAAGTTGCAGAACAGAAACCAGTATGTGAAAGTGAAACAGTGCTAATAGAGACACAACGGCAATAAGCATGCAATGTGTGTTGTTTGTAAGAAGTTAACATTCCTTTGGAAAACACTAGTAAGTCATTACTACATTCTTGTAACACTTACACATTTTACATGTAGTTGGAAGCATGTTTTTTCACTCACCCAATAATATTTTACTCTGTACATGTTTTTTCTTTTCATTTTTTTTTTCATTAGTCACGAACTGCAACGTTAATGGCTCTGATTTGTCAGCTGGTTTGAAATGTGAAAATTTGGAAAATATGGGCTAGACAAATATCTCACTTTGGTTGTGAAAAAAATACTATTCATAGGAAAAAATATGAAGGAAAAATATGTAGGAAATGAGTTTCTAGGGAGATTTTGTAAAATTGTCCATTTTCAGTGTTTAATTGTTTAATGTTGGTTGTTCTAGGATTTAGTGTTGTTAATCTGATAATTGTTGTTACTTTTTGCAGGTCAATGATGTACTCGGGCGAGCTAAAGTTTGAGAGGAGAACCACTTCAGCACAGATTGAAGGAGGTGTACATAACCTACACAGGTACTGTTTGTTTTCTAAACATTTCCTAAAATTCCTTTAGTTAGTTTTACTTAAATGACAAAAATGTCTGAAAGATTTGTACGTAAATTATTTGTTGATTTCTTAAACATAAAAAAAGAATTGATTTGTTTACTCATTCTGAAATCCATCAATGTTGTAAAAAATTATTCATTGGTTGGAAAATGATGAAAATGAGATACACTTTTAAGATTGTAAAGTTGTGTAATTGAAGAACAAATAGAAAAGCATTATAAAATGTTTCTATAGCTTATGAAAAAAATGTTTCTTTTGAAAACAAGAAGAATTTGAAATGTCAAATGAATAACTTGAAAATGAATATGAACTTTAACATCAATTAAACATTACAATGTATCAAAGTTATTTTGTAATAATGATGGTGGAAAATACTTTTTAAAAGTATGTTGATTTTTCCTTGAAGTTTTAGGTGTAAATGCCTCTACTGCAAGGTGTTAAATTGTATTGGCAAAATCAAAGTCATGACAATTTTGTTTTTTTTCATCTGAAATGAAAGGTTCTTGATACCCTCCTTATCATATGGTATCTGAATCAAGCTCATGTAACACATTAGTGAATGTTTTATTTTAGAACTGTTGTAGATTAGTATATTGTATCTAACAACGGTAATCAATAAGTATTATCTTTAATTAGGATGGACAGAGGTGGAAATTTACAGGGTCATCTAAACAGGTTTTCTCAAGATGATTTGTTTTCCACCTAAAATGAAATTCCTTGTTTGCTTCCATCTTGGCCAACAAGGGTGATAACTCTTATGCTGATAGATTTTGTTGCAACGATTGTAAAAATAAACAAAGTTTGCACTTGATTGGTATTTTCTTGATGTAACAGATAAAAACCTTCAGGATTGCAAATATTTTGAAAAAATATTGGAAATTCTTCTAGCATCAAATGTCAAGATATAGTAAGGTACATACAGTGAATCTATATGAGAAAGATAGGTGTTTTCTGAGTTGTAAAAATAACTAGCTTTTTGGATGTATGCAAATGACAGGTCTGTATGGTCTCTGGATGTGAATTAATAATCATGTCAGTTTTTGGTTGTATTTAGATTTAGTGTCCGTTCTGTTCTGGATTGTAATCAAGTGACAGATATGGTTTCTGGGTTGTGTATAATCTTGTAAGTAAGGACAAAGTTCTGAGTAGTGTATATTCATTAGGGTATAGCACTTTAATTATATTTTATACACCGGGTGGTACTCATTAAGAACAAGGTTCTGGGTGGTGTATATAAGGCTACAACACCTTATTTGTATTTTACAGTTGGTTGGCACTCAGTAAGGACAAGGTTCTGGGTGGTGTATATAAGGCTACAACACCTTATTAGTATTTTACAGTTGGGTGGTACTCAGAAAGGACAAGGTTCTGGGTGGTGTATATAAGGCTACAACACCTTATTTGTATTTTACAGTTGGGTGGTACTCAGTAAGGACAAGGTTCTGGATGGTGTATATAAGGCTACAACACCTTATTTGTATTTTACAGTTGGGTGGTACTCAGTAAGGACAAGGTTCTGGGTGGTGTATATAAGGCTACAACACCTTATTTGTATTTTACAGTTGGTTGGCACTCAGTAAGGACAAGGTTCTGGGTGGTGTATATAAGGCTACAACACCTTATTAGTATTTTACAGTTGGGTGGTACTCAGTAAGGACAAGGTTCTGGGTGGTGTATATAAGGCTACAACACCTTATTTGTATTTTACAGTTGGGTGGTACTCAGTAAGGACAAGGTTCTGGATGGTGTATATAAGGCTTCAACACCTTATTTGTATTTTACAGTTGGGTGGTACTAAGAACAAGGTTTTGTGTGGTGTATATTAATTAGGCTACAACACCTTATTTGTATTTTACAGTTGGGTGGTACTCAGTAAGGACAAGGTTCTGGGTGGTGTATATAAGGCTACAACACTTTATTAGTATTTTACAGTTGGGTGGTACTCAGTAAGGACAAGGTTCTGGGTGGTGTATATAAGGCTACAACACCTTATTTGTATTTTACATTTGGGTGGTACTCAGTAAGGACAAGGTTTTGTGTGGTGTATATTAATTAGGCTACAACACCTTATTTGTATTTTACAGTTGGTTGGCACTCAGTAAGGACAAGGTTCTGGGTGGTGTATATAAGGCTACAACACCTTATTAGTATTTTACAGTTGGGTGGTACTCAGTAAGGACAAGGTTCTGGGTGGTGTATATAAGGCTACAACACCTTATTTGTATTTTACAGTTGGGTGGTACTCAGTAAGGACAAGGTTCTGGATGGTGTATATAAGGCTACAACACCTTATTTGTATTTTACAGTTGGGTGGTACTCAGTAAGGACAAGGTTCTGGGTGGTGTATATAAGGCTACAACACCTTATTTGTATTTTACAGTTGGTTGGCACTCAGTAAGGACAAGGTTCTGGGTGGTGTATATAAGGCTACAACACCTTATTTGTATTTTACAGTTGGGTGGTACTCAGTAAGGACAAGGTTCTGGATGGTGTATATAAGGCTACAACACCTTATTTGTATTTTACAGTTAGGTGGTACTCAGTAAGGACAAGGTTCTGGGTGGTGTATATAAGGCTACAACACCTTATTTGTATTTTACAGTTGGGTGGTACTCAGTAAGGACAAGGTTCTGGATGGTGTATATAAGGCTACAACACCTTATTTGTATTTTACAGTTGGGTGGTACTCAGTAAGGACAAGGTTCTGGGTGGTGTATATAAGGCTACAACACCTTATTTGTATTTTACAGTTAGGTGGTACTCAGTAAGGACAAGGTTCTGGGTGGTGTATATAAGGCTACAACACCTTATTTGTATTTTACAGTTGGGTGGTACTCAGTAAGGACAAGGTTCTGGATGGTGTATATAAGGCTACAACACCTTATTTGTATTTTACAGTTGGGTGGTACTCATTAAGAACAAGGTTCTGGGTGGTGTATATAAGGCTACAACACCTTATTTGTATTTTACAGTTGGGTGGTACTCAGTAAGGACAAGGTTCTGGGTGGTGTATATAAGGCTTCAACACCTTATTTGTATTTTACAGTTGGGTGGTACTCAGTAAGAACAAGGTTTTGTGTGGTGTATATTAATTAGGCTACAACACCTTATTTGTATTTTACAGTTGGGTGGTACTCAGTAAGGACAAGGTTCTGGGTGGTGTATATAAGGCTACAACACCTTATTAGTATTTTACAGTTGGGTGGTACTCAGTAAGGACAAGGTTCTGGGTGGTGTATATAAGGCTACAACACCTTATTTGTATTTTACATTTGGGTGGTACTCAGTAAGGACAAGGTTCTGGGTGGTGTATATAAGGCTACAACACCTTATTTGTATTTTACAGTTGGGTGGTACTCAGTAAGGACAAGGTTCTGGGTGGTGTATATAAGGCTACAACACCTTATTTGTATTTTACAGTTGGGTGGTACTCAGTAAGGACAAGGTTCTGGGTGGTGTATATAAGGCTACAACACCTTATTTGTATTTTACAGTTGGGTGGTACTCAGTAAGGCTGTGTTGTTTCATTTTTTAGACAGAAGGTTCTTTGGGTTATACATTGGAATAGTTAGAGCTGAAGTAACTAATGGCTATTGTTGATTGTAGTTATGATGTTCGTCTGTATTAAGGTAAGGTAGCGTGCTCCATTTGGACCAAACCTGCCAGGCATTTTTTGTGTGACATGTTTTGACATTTTAACACCACATTTTATCATCTCTATCAATGTTTGACAGCATTACAAGCCAGCCTGGTAAATAACAAATGCCTCCTCCATGTGTAACAGTCACATTCATATCTCTTCTCAGAAACTGATTTCATCCAAATCATTTTTGTATGGATATTTATCTACAATTTTTTTTTTCAATTTATGCACAAATGTATCTAAATTACTTTCAGTTTGTAATTGTACACTTTTGCGCTTTTTTTTTTTTTTTTTTTAATTGAAGTAGTTTTGATATCATATCATTGTTGTTTCAAAAATTGTATTTGTTTAGTGATAACTTTTTCAAAATTGTTAACTGTTTCATGGTCTTTTGTTCAATGGTATACCTTAACATCCATTACTAATCATGATCGGAAAGTTCCTTCTCTTAAACTTTCACTTCAATTTAACTACCAGTAACATTGCCAACGAAAATGTTTAAAAACGAGGAGTCTCAGTGAGTATGTACCTAATTTTCGTAATGAGGTGGAATGGCTTTGATCTGCCAGGTATATACCTTAAGGCCTGGTAAAAATTGTAAAATTGTCTTTCTAGGACTCACATTTAATTATTGACTGTTGGACATGGTTATGTCACAAAGTGTATCCAATATCTAAAAAAATTTCTTGGAAAATCTACACAATTAATTTTTTTACAATAATGACCTAAACTTGTTTGTCTCAAGAATAGACCAGCCTTATTTTATCTTACATTAAACAATTTAGTATACACTTTTCAATTTAACTTGTTCTTTTCCAATTTTGAAAAGGGAAAAATTGGTGTAAGCTAACAGGTATTTTGAAGTTTTAAATGTCGAATTGTTATAAATGTGTTCTAAAACCGAAATACATACTCTAAACGTTTACTCTAGGCAGCAATTTGTTGTGAATGTATAGTTACCTCCCTTTGATAACTATTTAGAATGGTACACCCTACGTTGTAATGTTTGTATGTTAAGTTGTACCCAAAACCACATGTACCTGCACAAGACTGCATGATATTAAATTTGTTGATTGAAAACATGATAATCTCCCCTCTACCATTTTTGAGACATACATGTAGTAAGTACTAATACATAATTGGACTATATGATTAAGGCTGTGTTGTATACATATATTAGTAAAGCTTTTAAATTTAGTTATTTGCTGTTCACTGCCATAGCTAGCCTGCAGGACCCCATCGTGAAACACTTTGCTTTATGCAGTTTGTTAGTAGGGTATAATTTTTTTAGAAATTTAAGAAATTTTTATCATATCTTTTAAAGAAATATGTTTTGTAGTATACATATTATGTAGTTGATAATCTCACATCATATAGAAAAACTACACACCTTGGAGGGGAAAAAATAGATTTATTTTTCTTGGCAGTTTTGTAACATTTAATCATGAGAATAGGATGTATAAAACAAAAAACTCTTCTTTGGTAACTGGTGAGGATGTCATGTGAAAGAGGTCGGTTGCCTTGATTTAAGATTTAACTGTGCTTTTGAGATATGTATTTCTCTCTACCATTTGTTTCTTTATTTCCACTTATACAAACTAGTTGTAGACTGAAAGAAAAATTATTTAAACTGAAATTTGCTTTTAAAGAAGACTGCAGCCAAATATTGCTTTCTGCTACCATGTTTACTGTGTCAGGACTCTTTGTATTGTAGATAAATAATTATGTTTAAGATGTTAAGAAATTAATTGAAAACTATTTTTTTTATAAAATGAATCAGTCAGCCTGATACAGCATTTGTTGTCAGTCTGTCTGCCATATCTTAAAAAGATTTCTTTTCCATATTGAATAAAGGCTTTGTACAAAGTTTTCTACAATTATCCTTGATTCATGACAATTCATTATCAGTGCTTGCCACTTCCTGCTTTGGCCTATAGAGTAGAAATTTGAAATTAAAGAGTGAATTCATTTAAAAATGGATGGCAGAGGAGTTAAACAATTTAGAGAGAGAGGGCTTTAGAGACTTTTCAATGTAAGTTTTGATAAACAGATTAAACCTCTTAAGACCCGGAGTATCCATGATGGATGTATGTTTCTGCAGGGACAATAATTGACAAATATCATAGATTGTTTTCCATTAATTGCCTTGCCAGGCATTGATATCTTGTGAAAATTCTTTGACAACCTTTTATTTAAAAAGCAGAAACCTTGGATGAAAAAAAACATGAAAATTAAAAAAACAAAAACAAAACAAAAACAAACACAAAACAAACAAAAATAATAATCATAAAATATGAAATAATATTTTCAAAATGCATGATATACAGGCCTAATAGACCATTTGTCCTTGAAGTGTCACTTTCATTTACTAGTTCTTATTAATATAAATATTATCAGTTAACAGAATTATTGTGTGTAAATATGAGAGCTTTACTGATGCAGTGTTTGATATGTGTTTTTTTTTTCATATTTTACAGCTTTGAAAAAAGGTTGTACTAGGAGCAGCAATCCCAAACAATGGAAGTTAGAAAGATGACGACATTCCAAACTTTTTGGGAGGATTTCCAGATAAGCAACAAGGAAAATAATTGAAGCTACAAGGGAGTTCAGTTGTTTCATTCTCTTCTAGGCAAAATTGTAAAGAGTTGATGTTGCACAGAAATTTGGCTTTTTGCCATGGCAGTAGATTCATGAGTGGAAAGTATACCGGGTGCTATTAAGGTTTTATGTAGGATTAAGTGGCAATACATTCTCAGATATCCAATATTTTGAATCTATTTTTACAGACATTCTCTGCAGGTCTTACTTTTACTTACTTTACATAAGTGCATATATTACAAGAAATCCTTAAGGACAGATCTAAATGATATTACCATGACATATTTTAGTGTTCAGCATTAAACTATGTCTGCTATACTAGAAGTAGTGGAGATACCATTATCATTGAAGGCCAATTACTCCCAATATTGGCCAAGTAATTTCAGTATGTTGATGAAAGAAAAGTGCTAAATCAGTTATAGATAAACATTGAAATTATATTCTTTCATACCATATTATGGTAGGTGTTGATTCATCTTGTCATAGTACTATTGAAGTGCTTTAGAATACCTATAATTTATTTACAGTTGAATGCCTTGTTTAATTGATTTTCATACTTGCCTTACATTGGTTTGATTTGTTTGTATACCATAGATTTCATTTTTATCATTTGTTTTGGTTTTTTTTCTCTATTTCTCTTTTCTTACCAAGAATGGTTTTTAGTGTCATCCACTGCAATCTTGTGTTGCTGAAGTAATGTTACCAACTGCAATGTGACATAACTTTTTTCCGGGTTATTAAGTACATGTATGTTTAATTAATGAGGATGATACACTTAAACAATTCAAAGTAATTTGGTATATGAAGATGGAGAGCTATCAAATTCATTTAATTGAAATTAACTCATTTTTAGTTTTCATTTGACTAATACATACCCAATGGATGTTTTTTTTTTTTACGTCACATCAGTAAGATATGTCGTGTTTATGCTAATCTATATTCTTCTAGTCTTACATTGAACAAGATAACTAGCGGCAGGCACTATATATCTAAAGTAAATTGATCTGAAGAATTCACCATTTCATTCACTTATCAATAAAACCTTTTACACTATCATTCCTACCATGCTATGAGAAATGAAAAATTGAAATTTTGGAAAAATTCATGAAATGGATTGACCATGAATTAGTAAAAAGGAGTGACAAACTGCTATGAAAAACACTCCTGTTTAACATTCTTAATTGTCTGTAGGATCATTGATGCCATATTGTTAGATCTTTATCAAATGAATCTCACTGTAAACTTCTCCTTTTAACATACAAATGTAGTATCTGTAATATTTATTTTTACTTTGTCTAATTTAGGATTACTTTTCACATGTGTTTCTCATTTATATTTCAAAGAACAATTACATTTTTTGCGTAGTGTAAATGAAGGCCATTTTCTGTGAAGCATTACTTTTTTCAGGTAGAAAATTGTAATAGGATAGACTTGTAATTTTCTGTCAATGGTGAAGACAGTATGGTTTTAACAAACGGTTCAATACCATTTATGTTTTGTTTGTAACAGTGACCTTTATCACGTTGATTTTAGAAACAAGTTTCTACATTCACAAGGCAAGAACTTATTGAAAAAATACATTAGTGCTTCAAATTTCGAATCAATTTGTAGTAATCCAGAATCCTGAATCATTTATGTTGTAAAAAAAATTGTCTCAGAAATTTTCCCTGTTTTCAGTATCAGAATTTTGATGAAATTTTTAAAGCACTCAAATTACACTTTATGAAGAATAATATCAATTAGATATATATCGGTGTCCAAATAAGATATCATTTAATTCAGTATAAAGTATACACTATATATGGATATGTAGCTCTTAACTTTTACTACAGGCAGGACCAGAGGAAGCATTTATGTTAGGGCCAAAGCAATATATTGTTAATGTAAACTTATTCTGTGAGCCATGCATTTATTAGATAAGCATTTTTGTCGCTATAGGGACCACGTTGAAAACTACAACAGCAGTTGTGCAATCTAATTTTACATCTGTCAGAATTGTAATATAATGATATGCATTATTCCTGAAAGAAAAAGTCTACTTGTGAAAAATATACCTGTCTTCTGCAAATTCATTCATAAACATATACCAGCAATAAGAACCATGTTTTCAGTGATTAAACACCTAAAACTGAACTAAACACCAAGGTTAGATATGTGTTTTCAGTGATTAATCACCTAAAACTGAGCTAAAAACTAAGGTTAGATATGTGTTTTCAAGGCCACTACTTTGATGAAAAGTCACATTTACTAATATCAGTGAGAAAAACGAAACATTAGATTTTGGGCTTGAGGAACAAGAATATGCCTGGAAAGTAGTGTTCAGACGCTTTTCGAATTTTTGAATGCAAAATGTAGTTGAGAGTACATTAAAATGTTTGTCTACACTATCATAGAAAATGATGTATTTTGTAATTGATGAATGTAATGGTAGATTTGTTTATTTTAAACTTGTACCGTTTTTGCCTTCAACTTTGTCGTTACAAAGTTAAGATTCATTCACCGTTAGGAATTGCTGCATTCCATTGTTTTACTTAAAAAGTAAAATGATTATATAAAATTATGAATATCATTTTAATTAAAGATGTAATATACAAACACAAAATTTACGATTAAATTATCATGAAACATTTTATTTTTTATTCTGTCTCTGAAAGTCATCTAGTTTTTGAAAGCTATAATATTTGTGTGCCATACCTCATGTTGAGGATGGAGATGTATTACTGTTTCATAATCCATAATCTGTTCAATTTAGGATACATAATACCTGGATAATAAGTCAAGGAAACACAGTGAGAAATCTCTTTGTCGCTCAGTGGATTTCAGTTTCAACTTCAGTTGTGTACAAAGGAATAATTTGACATTCTACTGAATTTCTGGCTTCAATTTTATTTAGAACATGCACACAAAATTGTATGCTAAAATTATTTGCCAAAATGTATCTTTTTTGCCTTTGACATTGTTTACTACCGTAAAATTTGCTTAGCAATAGGAGACTGGAGTTGCCTTTTTGCTTCCAGTTTCTGTTCATACCTTTTGAATAAACTTCTACAGTTAAGTAAATATGATACAACCAACTCATTTACAACTTAGATATTATTGTGTAATTAAGAGATGTCACTTGATAACTACTTCATTACAGATGACCAGATGTCTGAAGTAAATTAAAGATCATGTTTGATCAGAACTCATTCTAACAAAATTTAATGGGTATATCATTTAGATGCTAGATATTTAATTACTTGCAAAGTACTGTAAGTTAAATGCAATGCGTCGCTCCCTGATCTTATTGTAGATTGATTGTATTCATATGTCACACCAATAATAGCTAATACTGCCTACATAACGTAATAGTTGTCTACTTTTAGGACTCCTTATTTCTCCAGCATTTTGAAATAATTTTCCTATCTGTATCATAATTTATAGCTGCGTTAATCATTTCCATAAATAAACTTTAAAAAATCAGCATATGTTGCAGCATTTGATTTTGAACCATTTATAACTATGAGGGACACTATTGTTTTATATAAATAAGAGTATATCTATAGCATTGCCATTGTATAGATGTTGTCGGAACCAGGACTGAGAGTTACAAGGTCAACAGTTTTGCCTAACGTTTATATAAATAGTCACCACACTCTATGTGTATATTTGCACCATGTGTTTACATTAGTTTCCTGATGTTAAGGAAGGGAGAATATCACAAAATGGTGTTGTAAAATGTAATTTGATATAACAAAATATGGTGTTGATTTTTATAAGTAAATATTGGTATCGTCCTGATTATTTTTCGTCATTTGAAAAAAATAGATTTGTTTTGAGTACATGTTCATGTTTAAGGATATTGTATAAACATAAATACACTGAAATGAAAGTCAACAATCTTCTGTAAAGTGTTAATTAATGTTAATTGGGTAGATATGCCTGGATAATTCAATCCTGTCAGAAATGCTCATTTTGTTCATCAATAAATTACTATTATTGATATTGTTTTTGTTTTGTGATTTCCCTAAGACAAAATTCCAAGTGACCCATTGCGATTGCCTTTCCTCCGTCTTGTCTTCTGTTGTGCATCCATAAACAGTAGACATTATCAACTTATCAAAAAAACTGAAGCAGTTTTGATGAAATTTTACAGAATCCTTCAATTTCCAAAAGCAAACCAGAATTGTGCATTATACACTGCTAACTAAGCAGCTGATGAATGTTAAGGCCTAAAGGGGTCAAAGTCACAAAACATTCAAAAATCTCCCAAATGTCAGACGTGGTAGAATAAGATACTGTTCAATTTAATTTTTTTAAAATCTATTATGTTTCAGATGTAATGGAATAAAATTCTCTTGATGGATGAAAGTGTGTATAAATGCTTTACTTTATTTGGTGAACGTTATGATACCAACATCACACACTACCCCCTGGTGAGGAGGTAGACATTACTTTATATGGAGATACAATGTATTATTTATTTGTTTAATGGGTTTAATGCCCAAGGGAAGTAATCAGAATTAGATTAAAACTATCAGTAGATCGTGGGAGTTTGATACTGTAGTATACTGCTATTGACCTTTGCGGATTCCTATTTTCCTGATGGATGGAGTCAAATTAACAAATTAAAAAAAAAACACTCACGAAATCCATTTATAGTGTATTAGGTAAAATACAATTTTACAATGATAAAAGAAGTTTCCATTTGAAACAATACAAACATGGTTTGGAAGTTAGGTTGGAAATGGTAGTTTGATGGTATGTACATATTGATCAAGATGGCCAACGGTTAGTGGACCAAATAGGATCAACCGGGTTGAAATTGTTTAAAACTACATAAAGTTACCTTACTTCGTTAACAAGATGACGTTTGTTATTATGACGACATGAACGATTGATTATAAAACTGGTTTGGATTTCGTTTACCGTGTTTATGCCATGCGTGGACTCCAGATCTATAATATACTTATCGGTTTGCTCATAATGATCCTTTAACACAGCCAGATATGCTTGACGAGGAGGCTTTGCGTCATTCTCGAATTTCCATTGGTTACGATCACTTCATACGGAAGTATTGAACACCCTTGGTTCTCAGTCCAAGAAAGTTTTAGTTTTGTCGTAACTGTAATTTTAACATGACAGCCATTTCGAAACAAACGTAATATAATTCAAACTTTCTAAGCAACAAGTTTCCCCATTGAAATTAAACACTTTCCATGAATAGTGTGGGATGGTGCTGTCGAAGAATTGCTACTCTTTGGACAGGCCTAAGATCCAAGGATCTTATCATCTTCATCTGAGTATACAATTTACACAAAATTATAGGAAAAAAGAGTAAACAAATCAAAGAGTTATAGTTTTTACTGTCCTGTGAAGTTTAAAGCTGTGAAGCTCTACCTAAGAAGGCTAGGCACACACTCACCAAGACTAAAATGGATATACGGTTAACAAAGCGTTACAGTTCGGATGTGCATGAAGTCCAACATCGTCACCAAAGACCATCGATATAGAAATAAGTTCTACCATGAGTATTCCACGGGGATTTAGCCGAAACTTATATGAGAATGATCCGTAGATGGTCTACAGTGTAGCTTAGGGTTTACAGGCAACAGCTGTAATATTGATATATATATATATAAATGTATGTGTGAAACGTTCTTAGAAAGCATGACATTTTGGTGTTAGCTTAAAAGCATTTCTCTTCCAAAATTAAAAATATGTAAGTCAGTAAGACAGTAGTCGGTAAAATGTGCCATAATGTTACAGCTATTCACGGCATTTCCACGTGCAGTCTTTTCCACAGTAGTCGGTAAAATGCTATCCATGGTATTTCCACGAAATATTCTATTAATTTCATACTACAGTGTGTGTCTACATTGATTGTTGCATTCACGATAATAATAATAAAAAAACTAAGATTTTCGTCTTGGTTATTAAAGAATATGGTAAAACTTTATCTGATTAATGATAAAGCAACTAACATTTATTCAAAAAGCAATGTCGATCTTGTGTGTTTCATCAAAGGATATATACTACCTAACAGAAGAGACATTGCCCCCTGAATAAATGTTACGTTGAATATATACATATGTATAATTGGGAATGGTTTAAGGGTCGTGTGCCATACCTTAGGGATTAATCAAGAGGAAAAACCGACAACGGGGCTCCTCTCTCTGGAATAAACGTAACTGATTTTCATAAAAGGTCGACATGGTCTCATACCCAATCTAGAAGCTAGCAAATAGGAGATAATTACTGCGTAATTCATTAGTAAACTGTCTCTTGGGTTCTCTATATTTGGACTACAATCACATGTTTACATGAATAATGACTATTTTATTACCAGACGGCGTCAACAAGGAATAGGTATAAACAATGGTGTTGAATGTGTGCCAGAACAACCGACTAATGTGGCTTAAAAGCTATATGATCTATCGTGGTTCTGCTGATAATATGCGTTAATATCCAGTCAAATATTCGAGGGAATTTAATAAATAAATTTTTCCTGAGATGTCTCTTCTACTTCTCCCTGTAGTCTTCCTTTCCTATCACCCTACTCCTTAACACACGCAATCCAATTTATCCCACAACACTCATTCGGTTAATAAGTAACCTCGTAACAAGTCTATTTCGGTCACTACTTAGTAAACTCCTACTAATACTTCCAACTCTCTAAACACTAACCTCACCATCGCAAACAAAACATTTAAATGTCGCAAAGTGAACAGCTACGAGAAGCAAGGAACAGTGTAGAATTGCAGAAAGTATGGCCATTGCTAAAGCGAACAGAATGGCAGACGGAAATGGAATGATGACTTTTACATATATGGACACCAAAAACAGATCATCACCTTAGTAACAACTAACCACTAACCCATAGTCCGTCGGATGGAGCTTAGATTGGTGACCCCTGTGAGAATGTCCAACTCGCACAATGATGATTCCTCTGTGGTTTTATGAATAATATCAGGCGTGATAACGCCGGCCCAGAGGTTAGTGTTAGATTAGCAATAGGCATTACTTATTAAGTACTTTATACTCCCAAAAATCAACATATCGAAATTTATTTATTTATTTTAGGATCCCCTTCCTCTTCCTTTCTGTCATTAAGCAGACCTCTTCCTGTGACCTGCTTAGTGTCAGTCTAGGGCTATAATTAGACCAAGGGGTCGTCTTCAGAATTATATCTTAAGACAGGTCAGGTAGTGCAGACGGCCCTTAACTTCCTCGTCTCTGAATCCCAATCACTTCATACTTTCCCCCTTCTCATTTTCCTGTCTTTTCTCGTCCGCTTAAAACCTATTAAATAAATAACTAAACAAAGGACTTAGAGTAATAATGAACAAGAAAAATCCAGCAAACTAGTGAACTACATGGCAAATTTTTTTTTTTTTTTTTTTTGGGGGGGGGGGGGGAGTACGTCAGGCATATTTCTTAATTCTCGTATGTAGGTTCTCATTGGTCCTTGGTAATAATTAATAATTAGTCAAATAAAACCGACAGCAGGTCATCTTTGATTCTAATAGATAAAAGTATGCTATGGATTTTTCTCGTATTTAACAGGTATGTTCACTTTGACCAGTTTTTTGCTTTTCTCAAGAAGTGATCATTTTCGGCTTTCTTTGTGTAATTATAAAACTGCGATGTTTTATCATGTTTTCATATGTAAAATTCATGTCTATTAATGTGATTTTATTCACACATTTCCCCGTCATTCGAGGAAAAACGAATATTAATGCGTTTAAATAATATCATCTTGTCTTGAAGGACACAGATGAAAATTCTTAACTCCTATTTCTAAAAGGTTTCATGTTGTACCGTTATTTCCTCTTTAGTCAAGCTGTCAGTAAATTCGTAGTTTTCCTCCAACGAATTTTAGAAGCAATAATCAATTGCCAATATTTCAGCAGCAAATCGCATAAGATTTTATTTGCAAATTTCCAATCAAATTTTTACGCTATTCCGAATGAAGTTATTGATAAACATGAAAAAGAATAAGGTTATACGATGGTTAGATACTAAAAACCATATCCTATTTAGAATCAATTGTTGTGCTACCAGGGTGTGACCTAATGAGGAACTCTACTATCCAGGATCAAATGTTGTATAAGTCAGGGTGATACCTAATGAGGAACGCTACTGTCCAGGATCAAATGTTGTATAAGTCAGGGTGATACCTAATGAGGAACGCTACTGTCCAGGATCAAATGTTGTATAAGTCTGGGTGATACCTAATGAGGAACTCTACTAACCAGGATCAAATGTTGTATTTCCCAAGGTGAGACCTAATGAGGAACGCTACTGTCCAGGATCAAATGTTGTATTTCCCAAGGTGTGACCTAATGAGGAACGCTACTGTCCAGGATCAACTGTTGTATTTCCCAAGGTGTGACCTAATGAGGAACGCTACTGTCCAGGATCAAATGTTGTATAAGTCTGGGTGAGACCTAATGAGGAACTCTACTGTCCAGGATCAACTGTTGTATAAGTCAGGGTGAGACCTAATGAGGAACGCTACTGTCCAGGATCAAATGTTGTATAAGTCAGGGTGAGACCTAATGAGGAACTCTACTGTCCAGGATCAAATGTTGTATAAGTCAGGGTGAGACCTAATGAGGAACGCTACTGTCCAGGATCAAATGTTGTATAAGTCAGGGTGAGACCTAATGAGGAACGCTACTGTCCAGGATCAAATGTTGTATAAGTCAGGGTGATACCTAATGAGGAACGCTACTGTCCAGGATCAACTGTTGTATAAGTCAGGGTGAGACCTAATGAGGAACGCTACTGTCCAGGATCAACTGTTGTATAAGTCAGGGTGAGACCTAATGAGGAACGCTACTGTCCAGGATCAAATGTTGTATAAGTCTGGGTGAGACCTAATGAGGAACGCTACTGTCCAGGATCAAATGTTGTATAAGTCTGGGTGAGACCTAATGAGGAACGCTACTGTCCAGGATCAAATGTTGTATAAGTCTGGGTGAGACCTAATGAGGAACGCT